TCTACGTTTTTCTCTGGAGCGTTTAGACGTCTTTCTAGGGGATTTTCCGGAAAATCGAAAATGAAAAAATCGTACAGATGTTTTCTATACTAAATAAAAAACAATTTTTTTCTGTACGGATTGCGTAGAGAATTTCTATAGGATTTTTGTGTATGATATTCGGATATTTCTATACGGATGTTTTTTTGTATAAATTATTTCTAAACGATTTGTATAGGCTGGGTCCTATACGACCACTGCCACATGTGTAGAAATATTTCGGATGGAGTTGCGACATTTTTCTACGTATTTCTCTGGAGCGTTTAGATGTGTTTCGTATGAAAAGAAAAATTTATGGGTAGAAATAATTCTCATTCTAATTAATTCTAATTAAAATCTCTAATTTGAAAAAATCAACAAACAAAACAAAAAATAAATTATTCTCCCAAGAAAATGATTCCTTGACGTGGTTCGATTGTGATGAGACTGTGATTCTGATGAAGTTGACAATGAACCCCTCCTAGACTATTAGTGAGTGTGCAAAACATGAGGTGAATACAAAATGGCCATTTCCATCATTTCAATTTAGCTGAATCCAAGGGAGATACGACCATTCTCATGAGGACTTTTTTGTAGCTCTCATTTTTCTCGACAAAATATCAGTAGAGAAGTGGTTAAACGGTTTAAGTCACTTCCATTCTAGCGCCAGTTCTCGACGAAAATTTTCCTAAAAATCTCTTTTGTAAAGAAAAGTGACACGTATGAAAAAATTTTATAGAAAACCTAGCGAATTCGCTAGAAAATTCATTAGAATTCTATAGGAATTCTACGGGGTTTCTATAGGATTTCTATTGTAATAGGGGAGGGCAGGGTAAAACGGAGACTTTTGAGTTTTTTTGAAATATTCATGACGCGTTGAATTGTTCATGAAATGGAATAATTTTATTTTTCAATTGAAAAACAATGATTCCTCTTTGTGATGAGCTTAGACTGAGCTCACTTGATAAATCTGTTTCTGAGTTATGAATATTTTTTAAAAAGTCAAAAGTGTCCATTTTACCCTACCCTCCCCTACTATTGAAATTTTTTTTTCTTTTATTTAAGCGCAAAACCTACAGATTTATACAGCTGTCAATAGAAAAAAAAGAAAGTATATATATAATATAATTTACATCTTATTGTAGTATCAAAGTTGTGACATTTCTTCCTTAAATTGAACATTTCTTTTTTTTCTTTCTTTTCTATTGAAAAATTGAATTTGTTTTTTGCGCCGATTCCATTAGATATTCGATAAGAAAAAGTCAATAGATTTCGAGTCTCTGTTCGAATTTTCCTCTCGACATTTTTTCTATTAAAATTATTGATCACAAATTTTCTAATTTTTTTTCCGCTGGATTTTTGGTGGTTTTGTGGACCACTTCACTACTGAAATGTCTTCACAAAAATTCCGCGTCTCCCTTCGACCCCTGAAATCGACTCGTCTCTCCCCACCGATCTAACCTCTCCACTTTGTCCCAATCCCCCTCAAACCCAACGAATCCCCAGATTAGTGATTACGAAAAACATGGGGTGAATACAAAATTACCATTTCAAATCCCAAGTCCGTATTGTCCCATCTTCAACCAAAGGTATAATCCCAAGCAATTTTATCGCCAAATATATCAAGCAACAACCGCTAGATCAAGGCATCTCCACACTGTCTCAACTTTCTTTTCGGTGCCACAAATCAACTTCTCTACACACTAATAAGCGAGTACGTTCAAGCAGCGTGAGTGCTTGCCACAGGTCAATTCAGTTGACTTACGAGGTGAATTTATGGAATTTACTGACAACACGATGGACAACACAAAGATGTTATTCACGGATTTCTCATGACTCTCTCACTCCTCATTTTCCCCAGACACCCCTGATTTCAACTGCCCCCCGATGGTACCATCAAATTAATCAACAATTCGCCTTTCGCAATTTAGCCAGAGTTAATTTGTTACTTTTCTCACGTCTAGTCCAGTCGTACGATCATGCTTGTCACTAACTACTGACGACTCAGGTTATGTTGACGTCACAACCACGACAGCCACTAAATCACTATCTTCTCGAATTGTCTCGAATCTACCAAGTGGGATTCCATAACCGAATAGCACCGAATAGTGAGAATTTTCTCAACTCCCCGAGTGGAAATCTCAATCACGGAATTTTCTATCGTTAACTCTCAATTAAATTAAATCTCAATTTATTCGCGACTGAACGGGGAATCACGGGGGATTAATACTGATTAGTCATCAATTCCTGTGGTACTCACATTATTCTACCTTTTTTTAATGCTCTATTCGCCTTGTAGGGAAGCCATTGTTTATCAAAATCGACGAGTGAAATCCAATATCGGGGGGAATGTGTTGGATGGCTATAAATAGATAATGTTTACGGGAATTTTGAATGAAAAAACCGAGAGACGACAGATGTCACTTGGTCGGGGGAACGAAGTGGAGAGAGGAATGAGGAATTCCACTTCACAATCGGCTTTGTGGGGAGACAGCGGAATTTTGGGGAGGACTTTTTTCTGGGGAACAACAACAATTCAACCTGTCAATTCAAAAACCACATTCGAATTTGAAAACCCTGTGTAATACGAAACTTTGTAATTTTATGTTTAAATGCATGTAGGTGGGGTAAAATGGACACTTTAGACTTTTTTATAATTGTTCATAACTCAGAAACAAATTTCTCAATCGAGCTCAGTTCAGGCTCGTCACAAAGGGAAAGAATTGCTCTTTTTATTGAAAAAAAAATTATTGAATTTCATCAACATTTCAACCCCTCATTAACATTTTTAAAAANAAGCCATTGTTTATCAAAATCGACGAGTGAAATCCAATATCGGGGGGAATGTGTTGGATGGCTATAAATAGATAATGTTTACGGGAATTTTGAATGAAAAAACCGAGAGACGACAGATGTCACTTGGTCGGGGGAACGAAGTGGAGAGAGGAATGAGGAATTCCACTTCACAATCGGCTTTGTGGGGAGACAGCGGAATTTTGGGGAGGACTTTTTTCTGGGGAACAACAACAATTCAACCTGTCATTAACATTTGAAAATAATTCAAGTGTCCATTTTACCACACTCTCCCCTACGTAAGCAAAAACCACATTCGAATTTGAAAACCCTGTGTAATACGAAACTTTGTAATTTTATGTTTAAATGCATGTAGGTGGGGTAAAATGGACACTTTAGACTTTTTTATAATTGTTCATAACTCAGAAACAAATTTCTCAATCGAGCTCAGTTCAGGCTCGTCACAAAGGGAAAGAATTGCTCTTTTTATTGAAAAAAAAATTATTGAATTTCATCAACATTTCAACCCCTCATTAACATTTTTAAAAAAGTCAAGGGTCCGTTTTACCCCAACCTCCCCTATATAATAATCATGCGTGTAAATAACACAATGGCAGGGTTAATACTTATTAATAAAAAAAATACTGATGCAATCCTCAATGTTCAACTATTTTAGAAGAATTAAATATGAATAATTAAATGTAGGTAATTCAATAGAAATATACACTTGGTCGGGGGAACGAAGTGGAGAGAGGAATGAGGAATTCCACTTCACAATCGGCTTTGTGGGGAGACAGCGGAATTTTGGGGAGGACTTTTTTCTGGGGAACAACAACAATTCAACCTGTCATTAACATTTGAAAATAATTCAAGTGTCCATTTTACCACACTCTCCCCTACGTAAGCAAAAACCACATTCGAATTTGAAAACCCTGTGTAATACGAAACTTTGTAATTTTATGTTTAAATGCATGTAGGTGGGGTAAAATGGACACTTTAGACTTTTTTCTAATTGTTCATAACTCAGAAACAAATTTCTCAATCGAGCTCAGTTCAGGCTCGTCACAAAGGGAAAGAATTGCTCTTTTTATTGAAAAAAAAATTATTGAATTTCATCAACATTTCAACCCCTCATTAACATTTTTAAAAAAGTCAAGGGTCCGTTTTACCCCAACCTCCCCTATATAATAATCATGCGTGTAAATAACACAATGACAGGGTTAATACTTATTAATAAAAAAAATACTGATGCAATCCTCAATGTTCAGCTATATTAGAAGAATTAAATATGAATAATTAAATGTAGGTAATTCAATAGAAATATACACATTCAGCACTTGATTTTTCACCATAATTTTATTAAAAGACTCTTCAATACTATTTCGTACATCATTCAAGAATAAAAAAGTTACTCGTTAAAAATAGTCCTATTTAGCTAGAAATATTTATCGATTGCAGGAATGTTTCGTAATTAGAAACACAAATACACACGACACGTATGAACAAATTTGATAGAAAATCGTAGAGAATTCGCTCGAAAATTCGATTGCAATTCTCTGGAAATTCTAGGAAATCGTTAAAATTCTATTTTTTCTTGCAGATTGTATTAGATATTTTATAGAAGTTTTCGATTTTTCTGTTTGAATTTTTCTCCGGAGATTTTTTCTATTGAAATTATTGTTATAGAACAAATTCCAAGAGAATATTCATATAGAAAGGTCAAAATCTGTTGACTTTTCCCTATCGGAATTTTCATAGAATCGCAATAGAATTTCTAGAGAATTCCGAAATAATTAATTTCCTAGCTAATTCGCAGAGTTTTTCTATTGAATTTTTTTAGTACGCGATCCCCTCTCATTCTTTCCCTGCACATCAGTACAAAAGTCGTTATCTAAACTACTCCAATAAAAATAAAATCATAGGTCTGTGCCACATCATACAAAAATACGTATAAAAAATTTAATCATCGGTGTTTTAAGAGCTGATTGCACGAAGTAATAAGGCATTACACCCAAGGCATAAAAAATCACATGATTTCCACGGGAAAATCCCCGGAGGATTTCCCCCAAGTAATACTATTTCACTTCCAAACAAAGTTGTGATGAATTCCGACATTAAAATAGAAGATAACAAAAAATACATCGAAATCTGTAGGAATACACATCCAGTATTGCACGCGAGAAACCATAAAGTGTTTAGTTTGTACAATTGATAAAAAATAATGAATAGTATTTTTATAAAAATAATCGTTCAACAGTTGCGCCGAACAAATACTTCTAATCTGATACCAAAATATAGAAATATTCTTAGTTATAATACATAGAATTATCATTTTCTCTCGGACATTCGTGATCTATCGATCAAATGACAGATGACACGTACGAATTTCATATAAAAATCTAGAATTCGGTAAAAAATTCTGTTGGATTTGTATGGAATTTTCTAAAAAAATTACAGGAATTCTTTTTTTTTATACAACTTACTCCATTCAGATATTTAAGATATTTTCTGCAGAAATTTTTTAGCTCAAAGCTTCCAAGCACTTCTGTTTCATTTTTGAAATAAACAAAAAAGGAAAATTGAGTGAAAAATTCGGAAAATTCATGTCGAGGAATTTCTACAGAAAATGTCCCAAAATATCGAATAGAATTTTCCTTAATTTTTCGTAGACTACTAAATTTTTTTCTATTAATTTTTTTTTCAACAGAAATGTTCAATGAAAAATATTTTATAGAAAAAAGTCAATAGAATTCGATTTCCCCATACAATTTATCTCAAACTTTCCGAGTTTTCATTCACATTCCAAATGAAAAGATTAGAAAAATTGAGTAGAAAACTGAAATCGAGAAATTCCTATAGAAAATATTTCAATAGAAAAAATCCTACAATTTTCACCTAAAACAGTTCCTATTTGACATTTCCTCCAAAACGCGCAGTAGAGCAACAAAATTACTCAACAAAATGGTTAAAAAACCAATAGAATTATCCCCAGAAATCCAATAGAATTTTTCCCCCGCGAAATTCAGTAGCAAAGCGGCAAATCGGTTCAAGTCGACTCACCCCTCATCTGATTTCACTTGCAATATCTCCGAATCCAAGGGAGATAGCGAAATTTTTGTAACGACCTTTTTTGCAGAGCGAACCGAGTACCACAGAAAAGGTCATATAAAAATTGTTGCCATCTCCCCTAGATTCTGAGATATTCATTGAAAACTGCAAATAGTAAAAATCGCCTAAAACCATTTTGCCTCTTCGTCACTGAATTCTACTGATTCATGGGAGCAAGTTCATGCTGACCGTTTGTACTCATATTCTTCCCCCCAATTTGCGCGAAAGTCGACTGTCTCCACCTGCCATTCTCCCCATTGAGGTTCTGGTCCTCGCAGACGCACAGGAACAAAGTGTCGATGACGATTTCGAACAGGGAAATGACGCAGTGAGCGATGAAAAACGAGAAAAGACAGACAACGAAAATGGGAACAGCGTAGAAATGAAGTTTAGGATCTTGTCGCATGAAGAGGAGAGCGATGCATCCAGTGGTGGCTGTGACGAAGCACTTCCCGAGGAAGAGGATGAAGTCGCCGATGCCGTTGACGACGGCCAGCTGCAGGGCGTTGCTGGACAGCGTCGAGAAGGCGATTTTCGCTGATTTGCAGAAGTTGGTGCCCTCTATGGCGACGACTGTGTAGGCGTTGTGGTTGAGGAAGCGGATGAAGCTCTCGAGGCAGTAGAAGCAGCAGATGCAGGACTTGAGGCCACATTGGGCGCAGGTGGAGGTGTCCTTGGAGAGCTCGAGCTTCCTGTGGATGTAGGTGAGGATCAGCCGGGGCAACTTGAAGATGGTGATGAGGAGGGAGCCGCAGGCCACTGAGCCCAGGTGATAGCTCACCAGCTTCCCGATGGACGAACACACTGGCGAGGTGTTTGCGTCTTTGCCTCTGCAATTCAACGGGTTTTAAAGGCTGATTGGCAATGAATGGTAAATTGGTGATGAATGAGTGTTGAAGAGATTTTTCATGCATTGAAGATCGATTATGTATGTCTAATAAACGAATAATTAGTCCAAAAAAGCTAATTGTTTATCGTTGGTTTACCCCGCAAATCCTTAAAATGTTAAAAAGAGCCCAGGGCCTCCGATTTTTGATCTACAGAGATTTTTTTCTCAAATTTTTTGGAAAAATATGTGCAATAATAGTTACGAATTAGTTTTTTGGAATTCAGCTCCTACAGAATTGAGTTTTTCTCATAGAAAAAATTCCAAGAGGATGTTGATATAGAAAAATCGAAATCAGCGCAAAAAACTAATCGAATTCCAATAGAATTTTCTAGCGAATTCGGTAAGTTTTTCTATTCAATTTTTTCACACGAGCCATCAGGAAAATTGAGTCGGAATTTTATTCACTGCATGAAATTACTGGGACTCTCAATTCGTTCTTAAAACTACTCAAATAATAATGAATATAAATCAACAAATACCCCAATAGTAATTAAATAATTGATGAATTTACCTGAAATACCAATGAGCAACAGCACCAGCAATCACCAGCTCCTGGCAAGCGGTTATAAACTCAGATATCCAGATGAAACCTATTATGTACACCCACCACATGTACTTCACCCACGTCGCATCGACATATTCCACAAGCGTAAGTTTCTTGAACCGAGTGATGGGCAGATCCAGTCTCTCCTGATTGATCAGTGCCTCCTTGTCGATTCTGGGATTCAACAGCTGAATGTTTCCCGACGAGTTCAGCATCTGGACGGATTTCTCCCCAGGATAATCTGAAAGCAAAAAACATCATCGACCATTTTACGCATTCAGAAATGCACGGACGAAAAAATTTAATAGAAAAACCTACCGAATTCGTCAGAAAATTCTATTGAATTTCTATTGGACTGTTCTATTGGTTTTTGGCCGATTCTATTAAAATGTTCAATAGAAAATATTCAGTAGAAAAAGTCAATAGTCGTTTTTCTATACGACTTATTCTATTGAGATATTATCTATAAAATTTCCTCGGCTCAAATTTTCCAAGTTTTTTCGTTTGATTTTCTGGATGAGAAGAAAATAAAAATAGAATGAAAAAAACGTAGAAAATTTAAATCGAGCAAATTCTATAGAAAATATATGAAAAGAATAAGTTATACAGAAAAATCAAATTCTGTTGACTTTTTCTATTAGATGTTTTCTACTGAACATGTCAATAGAATCAGCCAAAAACTAATAGAAAGTTTGATAGAAATTCAATAGAATTTTCTAACAAATTCGATAGGTTTTTCTGTTAAATTTCTTCGTGCGTGTGACTTTGAAGTCATTTCGATGGCTTTGAAGTCATTTCGATGGCTTTGAAATCGTGTCGATAGCACTCACTGGCTGTCGCGAGACTCAGAACGACCGTAATCCAGAATGCGTAGAACATTATGAGAGCGACGAACGTTAGAAACGGCTGTAGGAATAGTCCGGGGAGTTCAGCCAGGCATTTGGCACTCTCTCGGAATAATTCGGTCATGAAGGCGATTCTTTTCCGCAGGAATATCACGATGAGTAGGAGAATGACAGTTATTACTGTCGCGATTATCGCGAAAGCCAGGAATGCCCTTTCGTTTCTCACTGATTCTTCGAGCAGCTGATCGGGATCTGTCTGGTCCAGGGTGCACTTTATCCCTGTGTAGGTCCACCAGAGCAGAACAGTTCCAGCTGGAGATGAGATTAATTTAATGTTTAGTATCTCTTTTCCATGGAAACTACACTGAGAGAAAAATGACAAAGCTCTCAAACAAGTCTTACTTGTGCCAAGAAAATAGTTTTTTGAAAATTATCAAAGGAGTTTTTTGTGCCAAACATGCAGAGAGTGCGGTGGAATGAAAAATTTTTGTCGCAAAAATAGATTTAGTAGTTGAAAAAAAATTGCATTCTCTGTAGACGCAAGAAATGTCATTTCTAGCACTACTCCTTCGTTATTCGATACTCCCACACGTATTTTGCTCCCGAAAAATCTTTGTTTAATGCGAAACAAGGGATAGTAGTTTTTCGTTTCGGCTGTCTAATAATCACAGACAACAAATGAACCCTTAAATGAAACAATAATAATGATATGATAGCAATCTTGTAGCTTGGGGATAAAAAATTCGTTGATAAATTTTCCTCTGTATGAGACATTATCATCCTGAAGAGGCACCGTCTGGTGTTAATTATCCGCCTCTTGAGCCAAATATTTCGTTGCTGTCGAAAGCAGAACAATTATTCATGTTTGAGACTTTCAAATTCCAACCAAACAAATTCTTTTTTGGGAATTATCAACTGGCGATTTTGTTGGCCCAAACAAGACTCGTTAGACGTGTTTATTTTTCTCTCAGTGCATGGGAAATCCTGGCGCTACTCACCGATACAGGAAACACTGACGAGAATCATCACAACCCAAGTGACAATGCTGGCGAGTAGATGGAAGATGGCAATCATGAACAGAGACAGCACTGAAAACAATTTCTCCCATTACCCCATTCCGAGGTGCATCACACCGTCTTCGAAAAATGTAGAGGAGGGTAGGGTAAATGGACACTTGAGACTTTTTTAAAATTATTCATAGCTCAGAAACAAATGTATCAACAGAGCTCAGTTTAGGCTCATTAAAAAGGGAAAGAATTGTTCTTTGTATTGAAAACAAAATGATTAAATTTCATCAACATTTCAACCCGTCACTAATATTTTTAAAAAAGTCAAAAGTGTCCATTTTACCCCAATCTCCCCTAAATGTAAAGTAAAGTAAAGAGATGCATTACCGAATGCTAAGAAGGAAAGTGCCAATATTTCCCTCCAGGTCTTGTAGAGATCCCCCAGGATCTGCTCGAATATGTCCCAGGAGTTGAGCAGACTGTAAAGATTGTAAACGAGATTCGACGGGATGTCTTTGGCTGCCTTCGGTACACAACGGTTCAGAATAGGTGTACTGTCGTGCACGGGTAGTCTCGGACAGTATCCCGTCTTGTTCTGACTCCCAGTGTCGGAGCAGGCGGTGAACCCAACGTCCGGACGATCGTGGCAGAGTTGAGAGCCTGTGCTTTTGTAGAATTGACACACATCACTCATGTAATTCATGTTGCGGTCTGGGCACTTCCTGACGCAGATCTTCAGCGATTGCTTTATGTCCCGCACGTCCAGGAAGAAGAGGTAACTAAAGGGCAGATGATAATGACAGATCGTCAGCCTCTTGCAGCGACGAAAAAATTTCATAGAAAAATCTAGAAAATTCTGGGGAAAGTCTATTTGTTTCTACGAATAGACCGATTCTATCAGAGAATTCCAAAGAAAATTTCATGTTTCTACAGGAATTTCGTGACATCAATTTTTTGACGTTGGAAATTTTGGAAAATTTAATTCACTAAATTTTTAAAGAAAATTTCTCAATCTATTGAAAATATTTCAATAAGGTAAATTGTAAGAAAAATGGAATTCTCTTAATTAATTACAAAATTTGAATTTCAAACAATTAAAAATTAAAAACTATTTCTTCTCCTCTTTTCATTCAAAAAATCGAAGAAGAAAAATTGGAAAATTTGAGCCGAGAAATTTCTACAGAAAAAATCTCAACAGAATAAGTTGTCCAGAAAAATCGAATTCCATTAATTTCATCTACAGAATATCTTCCACTGAACCTTAAAAAAAAATGCGCAGATAAGCTTCGAAATTTTCCACTAGAATCGTAAAAAAAAAAAAAATTCAATCAAAATCCAATGGAATGTTGGTGATAAAATAGAATTTGCATTTCAAACAATAAAAGAATTAAGAACTAGTCAAACTAAATTTTTGCTCACGGTTTGTCACTGGTGTCTTGCCCCGACAGCTCCATATCCCCGAACTTGGGATTATTCTTGGTCCCACAGGTGTTCCCGAAGCTGTCATACCCATTGATGAGCCTCAATGGATTCCCATAAACCAGTGCGAAAGCCGCAATCATGATCTTAACTCAAAAGATGATAATTATCGAACTACCTTGTCTTTACCCTTTATTTGTTTACTCACCATGAGAAACCAGAATGCAATAAACAGAGACAGCCAGAATATATCTGTGCACCTCCGTACCCTGACTGTCTCCTGCCGCTGGTCGTCGTCCTCCTCTCCATCATAGCACAGCATCCTCTTCCCTGAAATCCCCCTCACTATCGTCCAAAAACCCTCGTATTTACACTTAATCAGTCTACGAGGGACGATGCCGATTAAGGTGTATCATTCCCCCTATTGCTGCACCTGTTGTAGCTTCCTAGTGGAAAAACCTCATATAGGGACCCTAGACAGTCCCCGCGGTCCTCACCCGTCCAATCGAATCGTAGGAATTCCCAGCATTCGGACCCTAGGGACCCTAGACGTAGGGACAAAAGGAATTTTGCTTTATCTACGATTAATTTGCCGATTGAGGTGTATTATTCCCCCTATTGCTGCACCTGTTGTAGCTTCCTAGTGGAAAAACCTCATATAGGGACCCTAGACAGTCCCCGCGGTCCTCACCCGTCCAATCGAATCGTAGGAATTCCCAGCATTCGGACTCTCCCGCCAATTTCACTAGTTCCTGCGCATCCGCGTAAGACCCTAGGGACCCTAGACGTAGGGACAAAAGGAATTTTGGTTTATCTACAATTAATTTGCCGATTGAGGTGTATTATTCCCCCTATTGCTGCACCTGTTGTAGCTTCCTAGTGAAAAAACCTCATATAGGGACCCTAGACAGTCCCCGCGGTCCTCACCCGTCCAATCGAATCGTAGGAATTCCCAGCATTCGGACTTTCCCGCCAATTTCACTAGTTCCTGCGCATCCGCGTAAGACCCTAGGGACCCTAGACGTAGGGACAAAAGGAATTTTGCTTTATCTACGATTAATTTGCCGATTGAGGTGTATTATTCCCCCTATTGCTGCACCTGTTGTAGCTTCCTAGTGAAAAAACCTCATATAGGGACCCTAGACAGTCCCCGCGGTCCTCACCCGTCCAATCGAATCGTAGGGATTCCCACCATTCGGACTTTCCCGCCAATTTCACTAGTTCCGGCGCATCTGCGTAAGACCCTAGGGACCCTAGACGAAGGGACACAAGGAATTTTGCTTTATCTACGATTAATTTGCCGATTGAGGTGTATTATTCCCCCTATTGCTGCACCTGTTGTAGCTTCCTAGTGAAAAAACCTCATATAGGGACCCTAGACAGTCCCCGCGGTCCTCATCCGTCCAATCGAATCGTAGGAATTCCCACCATTCGGACTTTCCCGCCAATTTCACTAGTTCCGGCTCATCCGCGTAAGACCCTAGGGACCCTAGACTTATGGAACATTGACATCTCGTCTTTTTTTACAATTAACGCGCCAATCAGGGTCTCTAATTCCCCTGTCCTTCACCCGTCGTAGTTCCCTAGTGACAAAATCCTATATAGGGTCCCTAGGCATCCTCCACCATTTCCTCTCCGTCCAATCAAATCGCAGATATCCCCACCATTTAAGCGTTCCCGCCAACTTTACAGTCACCGCGCAAGCGCAGTAGCTCCTAGAGACCCTAGACCTAGGGAAAATTCTCATCCCGTCGTTTTTACAATTTATAACTCGCCACTCAAGACCTCTAATTCCCGTACCCCTACACCTGTCGCAGCCCCCTAGTGACAAAATCCGATATAGGGTCCCTAGGGGTTCTCCACCATTTCCCCGGCGTCCAATGAAATCGCAGAAATTCCGACCATTGAAATTTTCCCGTCCACTCCACCCCATAGTGCGCGTGCGCAGAAGCCCCTGGGGACCCCAGACCTAGGGAAAATGCCTAGACTTGCGACACGTGCGACAATGAACACTCGCACGTAATCTCGTGAGTGGCAGTCAGTGATCAGCTGGCTTCCGATGAAAGGAACATGTTTGTCCTCCAGAGGTCTTCTATCTTGTGAGTACTTGCGATTTTTTTTTCTTGTTAATTAGCGTGACCGCATAAACAGTGAGACATGCACGCAGAGATTCGTGATATTATGGGGGGAGTTATCGGGAGTTGCTCTTGGCCTTGAATTCCAGGGGGAGGGAATTTTTAAAAAATTGTCATTTCGTCGATTTTCGAACGTTTTTGTTAGTTATAACGGTGCAAACTGTTGGAGCACTCGTCCTCGGGCGCCGATATATCAACAAAACTCGGAAATTTCGAGCGTGCAATCGCTATCATTGTAGTGCAGGGGAATCGCTCCAATTCGCTCCGGTGAGGGTTGAAGCCCTGATCGATACGGGATAGGGCGGCAAGGGGGCGGGAAATCCCCAGTGTTGGATTTGGCTGTAATTATGTCATTGTTGAAGTATAGAATGTGACATAATAGGGGTTTGTGGGGAGATCCCGCCGAAGTGGTCGATTTATGTAATTTCGGGCGATGATGAAAGCAGCGGATTATTCGGCTCGGGCGGTTCTCGGGGGTGTGAAGGTCAAACAATTATGTGCACCATAGTTTTTCAAGGGCAAACATGTCTGGTTATGGCTCGAAAATATTTTGATGAACCTAGATTCACCTGAAGACAATGTTTCGCTCGTTTCGGCTTCATTAATTTCGCTTTTCTCTCGGCATTTTCGCTCGGGGAAGGGTGGAATAAATAGAGATGCGGTGACCGTGACACAGAACTACGGAAAGTCACGATTTTTGTGGGAATAGTGTGAAGGAACAGCTGGTGAACCTCGAAATTTGAGAGGGTCGAGAGTGAGAGAATTTTTTTTTTCATTTGTCGAATTATTGGGGTGTAAAAATGGGCTTTTCTCTTGCTTCTGGATGTGCGCATAAAAATTGATTTTTTTTTACTGATTTGAGACATTTTAAATCAAATTTTTTTTCAGTTTTTTCCGGCCGAAATTTTTTTTCTTAATTTTTTTCACTATTTTATAGAAAAAATGTTTTTTCTTTTTTATTTTTATTGTTCTTTGCAACTGATATCCCAAATCACTCAATTTCTTACTGATTTATCAACATTATTCATGTGAAAAATGGAGAAATGATCAAAATCGCTGATTAATTGAATGCCAAATCCCCATTTCTTCACTCTTCTATTTTGTTCTGTTATCCAGTAAAAAGGGTACCATGACTATTCACCCCAAAGTCACGTCAACACAGAAAGCATTTTCTACATAAAAAATTGAATTTTTTTACAGATTTGAGACATTTCAACTCAAAATTTTTTTCAATTTTTTCCGGCCGAAATTTTTTTTCTCAATTTTTTTCACTATTTTATAAAAAAAAAAAGGTTTTCATTTTTTTTTTATTGTTCTTCGCAACTAAATATCCCAAATCACTGAATTTCTCAAAAAATGAAAAAAGGAGAAATGATCAAAATCGCTGATTAATTGACTGCCAAATCCCCATTTCTTCACTCTTCTATTTTATTCTGTTATCCAGTAAAAAGGGTACCATGACTATTCACCCCAAAGTCACGTCAACACAGAAAGCATTTTCTACATAAAAAATTGAATTTTTTTACAGATTTGAGACATTTCAACTCAAAATTTTTTTCAATTTTTTCCGGCCGAAATTTTTTTTCTCAATTTTTTTCACTATTTTATAAAAAAAAAAGTTTTCATTTTTTTTTATTGTTCTTCGCAACTAAATATCCCAAATCACTGAATTTCTCAAAAAATGAAAAATAGAGAAATGATCAAAATCGCTGATTAATTGACTGCCAAATCCCCATTTCTTCACTCTTCTATTTTGTTCTGTTATCCAGTAAAAAGGGTACCATGACTATTCACCCCAAAGTCACGTCAACACAGAAAGCATTTTCTACATAAAAAATTGAATTTTTTTACTGATTTGAGACATTTAAACTCAAAATTTTTTTCAATTTTTTCCGGCCGAAATTTTTTTTCTCAATTTTTTTCACTATTTTATAAAAAAAAACGTTTTCATTTTTTTTTATTGTTCTTCGCAACTAAATATCCCAAATCACTGAATTTCTCAAAAAATGAAAAATAGAGAAATGATCAAAATCGCTGATTAATTGACTGCCAAATCCCCATTTCTTCACTCTTCTATTTTGTTCTGTTATCCAGTAAAAAGGGTACCATAACTATTCTCCACAAAGTCATCTCAACACAGAAAGCATTTTCTACATAAAAAATTGAATTTTTTTACAGATTTGAGACATTTCAACTCAAAATTTTTTTCAATTTTTTCCGGCCGAAATTTTTTTTCTCAATTTTTTTCACTATTTTATAAAAAAAAAAGTTTTCATTTTTTTTTATTGTTCTTCGCAACTAAATATCCCAAATCACTGAATTTCTCAAAAAATGAAAAATAGAGAAATGATAAAAACCGCTGATTAATTGAATGCCAACATCCCCATTTCTTCACTCTTCTATTTTATTCTGTTATCCAGTAAAAAGGGTACCATGACTATTCACCCCAAAGTCAGGTCAACACAGAAAGCATTTTCTACGACGATGGAACCTGCTGATGTTCAGCAATCTAAGTAATGCGTGTTGTATGGTTCTGGTGACATTTCTGTGGTATAAACTAACAATGGGTGTTTCTTTTTAACGTCCATCGGCAAAAACAAAATCGATATTATATGGAAGCATCGCAATCCTTCATTTTTCACATTTTCTATTTTCATTATTATTCAAATCAGTAGCGAAGCGGTAAACCGGGTTAAGTCGATTTTGAATATTGGCCAGTTTTTGACGAATATCCGGGAATCTAAAAGAGATAGAAAAATTTTTGTCATGACCTTTTTTGTAGAGCCAACTGAGGGTTATAAAAAAGGTGATGAACAAAATTTTGCTGTCTCTCTTAGATTCCGAGATATTTGTCAAAAAATGCCCAAAAGTCAAAATCGACGTAACCCGGTTTACCGCTTCGCTACTGAAATTATAAACCATTATTAAATGTGAGAAATTACAATTTCATTTCATAATTGATGCATTCTGTTCATTTAACATGAATTATTATCAAATATATAAAGTTTCAGAAAATTCGTTATTTTCTTCTTGAATAACTTCATCCCCTGCATTTACAATTTTGTGTTGAGTTTGTCATGTGTTAATTAATCGCATAACCGTGGAAATTACTCAATAATCGCATCACCGAGCAAACTCCTGATTTCCGGAAATGCAGAATCGATACCGTCACCTCGGTTCTGAAAACTCATCGAGGCGAACTGCAAAGGCCTTCAGTGTTTTATGTCATAATCGATTATGCAGTAGATAATCATCACAATATCAACAATATTACGATTGGGGGAGTTCCCCTATTTCCATTATATTTAACTTTTTTAGGCTGCACGGCCTCGACTGCATTACCGATCCAAAGCGGCACGATTTCAACGAAAAAGTATTTCAAATATACTTTTTAAATACGTCAGACACTAGTGAACGGATAGATCAGATCAGATTTTCCAGTGTCCCGTAAACCCATTAGATTAGGGACCATATCAACTCTTCTGTATTGGTCCCTCACATCACGGAGATAACATTATCTAAACTCCTCGACCAATTCCACGCGCGCGATATTTTCTACAAGTTTTTACTAAGATTCAAGGTCGCAATGAACACATGTCCAAAAATACCTTCCGCTGCGGAAATAATTTTATTGTAACATCAGTGGCATTATTTCCCACGGGTGATGCACGGAGGCATTTAAAAATGAATTAGTACATCCCCGGGGTCATTATTCAATTTTAAAAAGATGTGAGCCTGACTCATGGCTGTCGTTATAAATTAATTTTTAGATCACGTCATGGGGTTCGGGTGCGCACCCTGCCATCTCCAACGGCAACCTCTGACGTCCAACAGAGGAATATCCATGAGGTTTCGGGGGATGTTGTGCCTATAAATATGGTGAAGGGTATAGGACATCTGAGAGATCCACGATTGAATAAGGTATACATTGCAAAGTGGAAAATGAAAAAGTCAAACGAAAAGGAAATCCATTTTAAATATAAAAAAAATGATGAAGGTTTGATGTTCTTTAGGGTCAAACGGGAGAGAAATGTTGAGGGTCAAATATTCTTAAGGGAGAGACCCCGTTTGACCCTCTTGACCCACCCGCTTGTCCCTCCCATATGACCCTTAAGAGTTTGATCATTTAACATTTAAATGTTCTTCAGGGTCAAATGGGAGAGACAGGTTGAGGGTCATATTCTTAAGGATTAAGAATGGGAGAGACCCCGTTTGACCCTCTTGACCCACCCGCTTGTCCCTCCCATATGACCCTTAAGAGTTTGATCATTTAACATTTAAATGTTCTTCAGGGTCAAATGGGAGAGACAGGTTGAGGGTCAAATATTCTTAAGGATTAAATGGGAGAGACCCCGTTTGACCCTCTTGACCCATCCGCTTGTCCCTCCCATATGACCCTTAAAAGTTTGATCATTTAACATTTAAATGTTCTTCAAGGTCAAACGGGAGAGACAGGTTGTGGGTCAAATATTTTCAAGGGCTAAACGGGAGAGATAAGCAGAGTCGTCAGATGGGTCAAACTTCTCAAGGGCCAAATGGAAGAGATGGGTGCAGTGATCACTGCGCTCGCCTGTCCCGTTTGGCGCTCTTGACCCATCCGATTGTCTCTCCCCTTGCCCCTTAAGTTTGATCATTTAACCTTTCATCATTCTGAAAATAATGACGAAGGGTTAAATGTTCCTTGGGGTCAAATGGTTTTGAGGGTCAAACGGGAGAGACGAGCGATGTCATCACTCCACTCGTCTCTCTCATTTCGTCTCATTCGTTCGTCTCTCCCGTTTGACCTTCAAACGAAAATATCATTGCGTGAAAATTCTGGGAAACGAAATATACTTTCCCTTCGTGTTATCCTGCGGATGCTGACGTACTCCATTACATTCCCAGGGGCTAGCATTTACCCTGAAGGAGAGAATAGCTCTGGGTATCCACGGCCTCCAGCCCCCCCGCTTCAAAACCCAGGACGAACAGCTGGCCCTGTGCAAGGCCTCGGTGATGAAATACACGGAGGATCTCAATCGTTACCTCTACCTCGTGGAGCTCCAGGTGAAGCCCTGAGCGTCTTAGATCGTTCTAACATCATATTTCAGTTAAAACATTAAGATAAAAGACGGCCAAGTCTCAAGATATTCTTTATTAATCTGACGCAAATCATTCCGACGTATTAGGAGAGGAACGAACGCTTGTTCTTCCGACTCCTGAGTGAGAACATCGAGCAGATGATGCCTATTGTCTACACCCCGACTGTTGGTCTAGCTTGCCAGAAATTCGGAGTTATTTATCGACGACCTAGGGGACTTTTCATAACTATTTATGATAAGGGCCATATCTATGAGATTCTGAATAATTGGTCAGTAAAAAATTGCAGTTTTCTCGACAAAATTATCTATTGCACTTCATTTTTTAACACGTTTCATGGCTTGCAGTGAGACCACCCAGAAAAATTATTTATTTCAATCAAATTAATACGTTTATTTAAATAGTACGATATGAAGTCTTTATTCACATTAATAATTTTCCTTTCAGGTTCTGTTTATATTAAATGAATGTTTTTTTTTAATTATTATTAATTGATAATAATTTACATTTTGCACAGAATTATTATTTTTTGAAACATTCGTTGTTTATAAATGAATAATTGAAATTGTTTAAATGTTCAGAAGTCTTATATTTTCAGACAAGAAATCGATTTTTGGTAGAATTCTGAATATGAATAAATTCATTGTATTTATATAATTTTATTTGTATAAAATTATTTATAGAAAATTCTCGTAATTTTCAAAAATTGCAATTTTTTAATAGTTTCATCAATTTTCCTCCAAAAGTAAACTCTCATTTTTTTCAAATTCAGACTTGCAAAGTTTGAATAACAAAATTATTGCGAAATGTGTGGAAAGTTGGGGTGAAATAGGGCTCAAATGAAAGCTCCTTGAATGTGTCAAAAAGTGAAGCAACTTTTTTGTATATAATAAGTAAATTCCAATTTTATTGGGGAATTGCAATCTCCTAATTGACTTATTGCGTTAATCAGGCCAGAGCAAGCAGTTCGCGCCATTTGCGTGACCGATGGGGAGCGGATATTGGGTCTTGGTGACCTTGGTGCTTGCGGAATGGGCATTCCAGTAGGAAAATTGGCTCTGTACACTGCTCTTGCGGGGATTAAGCCTCACCAATGTCTTCCGATAACGATTGATGTGGGGACGAACAATGAGCAGCTTCGCGATGATCCTCATTACATTGGTCTCAACAAACCGAGGAGTCAAGGGGCTGAGTATGATGAGCTCATTGATGAGTTCATGGCTGCTTGTGTGAAGAAGTATGGACAGAATGTCTTAATTCAGGTAGGATTTTCATTTTATTTCAACGATGAATTTCGACATTTTTCGATCGGGCGCGTATTCAAAATGAAAAATGTTTACCTTTCGTGACCCTCAAAGATGCTAAATTTCTGCCCCTACACTGAGAGAAAAACAAACACGTTGTCAAACAAGTCTTGTTTGGGCCAGCAAAATCGCTAGTTGAAAATTGCCAAAAAAGAATTTTTTTGGTTCGAATTGGAACGAAATATTTTGTTCAGGAGGCGGATAATTCACACCAGACGGTGCCTCTTCAGGATGAAAATATCTCATACAGAGGAAAATTTATCAACAAATATTTAATCCCTAAGTTACAAGATTGCTATCATATCATCATTATTGTTTCATTTAAGGGTTCATTTGTTGTCTGCGATTATTAGACAGCCGAAACGAAAAACTACTATCCCTTGTTTCGCATTAAACAAAGATTTTTCGGGAGCAAAATACGTGTGGGAGTATCGAATAACGAAGGAGTAGTGCTAGAAATGGCATTTCTTGCGTCTTTCTTGCAACGAAATATTTGGCTCAAGAGATAATTCACACCAGACGGTGCCTCTTCAGGATGAAAATATCTCATACAGAGGAAAATTTATCAACAAATATTTAATCCCTAAGTTACAAGATTGCTATCATATCATCATTATTGTTTCATTTAAGGGTTCATTTGTTGTCTGCGATTATTAGACAGCCGAAACGAAAAACTACTATCCCTTGTTTCGCATTAAACAAAGATTTTTCGGGAGCAAAATACGTGTGGGAGTATCGAATAACGAAGGAGTAGTGCTAGAAATGACATTTCTTGCGTCTTTCTTGCAACGAAATATTTGGCTCAAGAGATAATTCACACCAGACGGTGCCTCTTCAGGATGAAAATATCTCATACAGAGGAAAATTTATCAACAAATATTTAATCCCTAAGTTACAAGATTGCTATCATATCATCATTATTGTTTCATTTAAGGGTTCATTTGTTGTCTGCGATTATTAGACAGCCGAAACGAAAAACTACTATCCCCTGTTCCGCATTAAACAAAGATTTTTCGGGAGCAAAATACGTGTGGGAGTATCGAATAACGAAGGAGTAGTGCTAGAAATGACATTTCTTGCGTCTACAGAGAATGCAATTTTTTTTCAACTACTAAATCTATTTTTGCGACAAAAATTTTTCATTCCAGGGCACTCCCTGCATATTTGGCACAAAAAAATCCTTTTTTGATAATTTTCAAAAAACTTATTTCTTGGCACAAGTAAGCCTTGTCTGAGAACTTTGTCGTTTTTTTCTCAATGTACATCAACCCTCAACCCCATGAATCACTTCCTCGCATTAACTTCTCATTCCAACAGTTCGAGGACTTTGGCAACCACAACGCCTTCCGCTTCCTCGACAAGTATCGTGACAGATACTGCACATTCAACGACGATATCCAGGGCACGGCGGCGGTAGCCGTAGCCGGAATAATGGCATCTCAAAGAATAACAAAAAGAAAAATGTCTGATAATAAATTCGTCTTCCTGGGCGCCGGTGAGGTACCTAATCTTCCTCTCCTCAACGCTTTTATCTCATCTCAATGAAATTCAGTGAATTCATTCTCAAAAAAAATTTTACAATTGATAATAAAAAATGAAACGAAAATTCTTGAATTTAGGCTGCCATTGGAATCGCAGATTTGTGCGTTAAAGCCATGGAGGCCGACGGCTGCACGGAACAAGAGGCCAGAGATAAGGTCTGGATGATGGATATCGATGGACTGTTGACGAAAGAACGTAAAGTGGGCAATTTGGATGGCCATAAATTGTGGTATGCTAAGGACCATAGAGAAATTAAGACTCTGTTAGATGTTGTTAGAGAAGTCAAACCCACGTGTCTGATTGGTATGTTCAGTGTGCCTCCAACCGGGAATGTTTATTCACGCAATTGTTTGTTGTTCAGGTGCGTCGGCAGCTGCGGGGGCGTTTACTCCTGAGGTACTTAAGGAAATGGCGAAGAATAACGAGAGGCCACTTATATTTGCACTCAGTAATCCGACTAGCAAGGCTGAGTGCACAGCCCAGCAGGCTTATGACAACACTGAGGTACGGGAGTAATTGGATAATTGAATGAATTAATGGGTTTTTATTACTTTGAAAAACAAGTGGGATAGTATTTTTTTTGTATTAAATTAGCCATTTGCTGGTGAATGGAATTTTTATGACTTCAGTGATTCATTTAATTTAACATTGGCTCAATGTTGGCAGCCAACATTGCCCCAACATTGGCAGCCAATGTTGGCAGTCAATATTCTCCCAACGTTGGCAGCCAACATTACCACAACATTGTCCAAATGTTGGCAGCCAACATTACCCCAATATTTCCCAACATTGACAGCCAGTATTGCCTTAATGTGGGCAGCCAACATTGTCCCAACATTACCCCAACATTGTCCAAATGTTGGCAGCCAACATTACTCCAACATTGTCCCAACATTGGCAGCCAGTATTGCCTTAATGTTGGCAGCCAACATCGCCCCAACATTGCCCAAATGTTGGCAACCAACATTACCCCAATATTTCCCAACATTGACAGCCAGTATTGCCTCAATGTGGACAGCCAACATTGTCCCAACATTACCCCAACATTGTCCAAATGTTGGCAGCCAACATTACCCCGACATTGTCCCGACATTGATGTCCAATATTGACTTAATGTTGGCAGCCAACATTGTCCAAACGTTGGCAGCCAACATTACCCCAACATTGCCCAAATGTTGGCAGCCAACATTACCCCAATATTTCCCAACATTGACAGCCAGTATTGCCTCAATGTGGGCAGCCAACATTGTCCCAACATTACCCCAACATTGTCCAAATGTTGGCAGCCAACATTACTCCAACATTGGCAGCCAGTATTGCCTTAATGTTGGCAGCCAACATAGCCCCAACATTGTCCAAATGTTGGCAGCCAACATTACCCCGACATTGTCCCGACATTGATGTCCAATATTGCCTTAATGTTGGCAGCCAACATTGCCCCAACATTAAATTTTTTTTACCTTTCCCTAAATATTGATTTAAAAATAAATTTATTTTTTCAACAACAGATATTTACTTTCTTTTATCAGGGAAGGTGTATATTCTCATCAGGATCGCCCTTCGGCGAGGTCAAACATGACGGCAAAATCTATAAACCCGGCCAAGGAAACAACGCATACATCTTTCCGGGAATTGCCCTAGGGGTGATTGCCACCGGTGTTCATCACATCACGGAGGATCTGTTTCTGATATCAGCGAAGACCGTTGCCGATCATGTTACCGATGAGGACTTGGCCAGGGGGAGTGTCTACCCTCCTCTGGGGACTATTAAAGAGTGCTCCATCGAAATCGCGGTTAGGATTGCCGAGTATGCCTATGGTCAATGTGAGTATGAAAAAAATTCAATAGAAAACCGAGCGAATTCGCTAGAAAATTCTATTGGAATTCCAATTTTTTTCCTGAGATTCTTTCTCTTAAAATTATTGGGTACAATTTTTCCAATTTTTTTTTCGCTGGATTTTGTTTCATTTTGCATTACAGAATGCGAGGAAAATTCTCATCAGAACTCCAATAATAGAAAAAAAGTCGATAAATTTTTTTTTTGTTTGAACTGCGTCAAACTGTCGTTTTTCGACCGATTTATTTTGTCCTGCTCTCCCCTGATTGACTGCATCAAGAAGTCTGGGATAAAATATAAAATATTCTTTCTAAAATATAAAATAATTATCTTCAGGTGGACTAGCTAGTGAATATCCCGAACCCAAAGACAAGAAAAAATTCGTAATGGAGAAGATGTATGAAGCCAACTATGACAGCCCTCTTCCTAACTTCTACGAGTGGCCCGAGGACTACGCGAAACCACGGGTTCTCCCGGAGGAGTAAGTATCGTTTTAAAAAATGCCATGAATTTTTCTCGAACTGTCCCACCAAAATTTCCTCTCCCCGAATCACTTCAAGAGTTCTTGTTCCAGGGAAAACCTCGAAATTCGTCACAATTTGAAGCATTTGTGAAAAGTCGAGTGATTGAATGAGTGAATTCACAACTCATCGTGTTGATGCTGAGGAAAATATGTAACTCTACGTCGAAAACTGCCGCACGTCGCCATCTCAAGAAATTATATTTTAACTCTGATTGTATTATTGGGAATGACAAATTCAGTATCCGATTCAGTATTTTTTTTTAGAATTCGTGGAGATTTTTTCAGTTGAAGGTTCTTTACAGTCGATTTTTCTCGTCATGCTCAGCGATGAAATTTTCTTCGTCGACTGGGAATTGAGTTGTTGAGTGAACAATTTGTCTAGGAATTAATTGAATTGGTTAATTGGTCTTATTGATCGATTACTTGATTAATCTTTTCTCAGCAGATTTAGTCAGATGACGAAGTATTACGTGAGAACGAACGAAAGTAACAAAATACGTTTGTCAAAGTATTCTCAATGCCATTTTCAGAATTTTATCGTTGTCAGTGGGAAATTTATCAGCGTTGGGTGCTTTTGGCGCTCCATTAATTTTCATAGCTCTTTGAAATACTGTACTTAACTGTTGATGCTGTCAACTTTGATAATTGCGGGTTTCATTACATGCTCGATTCATCGATAAAGAATTTCATACGTCTATTTTACCTCGTGAAATTGTGATCTAAGAAAACTGTGAATTCTTGTATTTCAGATGGGGGTCAATAGTTATTTATTCCGTCGTAGCAAATGATGTTTATGTCAATTTTGTTATCGATTACTTAAATTATTGTCGATTGTGTAATAAAAATGATGAGTCGAAAATTAATTCCCGTGGTTTGATCATTTTTATTCCGTTTCCAATATTTTTTTTTTTCTTCATTAAGGCCCGGCTTCATTATTTGTCGAAATTATGAATTTGCATTGAATAAAATTTTTTTTTAATTCTGAACATCACGGGCCTTAAAATGAAAATATTGAAAATTGCAAATTCATGAATAAGAAGTTTTTAATTCCATGAACAGTTAAAAATGTAGTACACAAAAAAATTTCAATATTTACATAATTATTGCGGATTTGCTATAAAAACATACATGGATAGATAATTATATTACAGATGGGAATATCTTGATAAAAGAAAATCAATTCCAGAATTTTCACACTGGACCACTAATTCGTTATCTAGTTGCTGTCTCCAGAGTCCTTCAGGGGATCGTAATCGGGGTCATCATCGTCGTTGTCATCGAGATCGAGATCGTCGAGGTTTTGGAACAGACTCTCGTCGACTTTGACTGCATCTCCTACGAGGATAAAATCATGTAGAGGTCACAGACCATAAGGACAAGCAGAATAAAATGAAATAAAATGGGGAAAAATAGAGAATGAAAAAAATTAAATAGAGTCGAATAAAATAGAGTAAAATATACCATCGTCCAGGAATTTGAGGTCAGATTGGTTCAGGGTATTGTCAGTCATGAAGAGCTCGCGTCCAGTTAATTTCTTTCCCTGGAGAAGAGCAAGCTCTCGACGTCTGGTGTGACCCATCTCTTCGTCAAATTTCTTCTTCCAGTTCATGAATGTTTCGACTGTTACTCTCGTACCTTCGAATCGTTTCTGAATAAAATATAAAAAGGTGAATTCTTTCGTTTTTTATTCATGTTTTAAAACGTAAAAAATATTTTATTTGTATTGTTCATTTAAAAGACGTTGTGAATGAAAAAATTTAGCTAATTAGTTGATTTTAATTTAGTTAATTAGTTTTATATGAAGAAATTTCATATAATAATAGGCACATGACGTTTTTTCGTCTTTCATTCACATTTTAAGACGTGAAAAAATATTTTGTGTGTATTGTTCATTTAAAAGACGTAAATGAAAAAATTTAGTAAATTAGTTATTAGTTTCGGAACATCAAGATAAAAAGATGAAGGAAATTCATTAAAAAATAGCAACATGAGGTTTTTTCGTCTTTAATTCACATTTTAAAACGTGAAAAAATGTATTTTATTCGTGTTGCAAAATTGGGAGATTGAAAAATGGTTCACCCTCTCTGCCTCTTCCTCCTCAACCAACTTCTTGGCAGCCCTCTCAGTCCTCTGGAGTTTGATGTTGTCCCACTGGACATTGAGCCACTCCTGGGCTGCGCTCACCAACGTGAACACCATGACCATCCCCAGATTCTCGTGCATCTGCTCCATCAAGTGGTCGATCAACTGCTGTTCATTGCAGCTCTCAAAATTCTCAGGGCTCTCGATTTTTATCAGCAAGGGCTCCTCCGGGTACTTCGGGGTGTACGTGAACTCCAGCTGACAAGCTAGACCATCCTCAGTGTCTGATTCGTATTCTTCGGATTTTATCGGCAGAACGAATTTGTAGTGGGGCTCGGTTTCTATAACTGAAGGAACAAACAAATATTTCAATGTTTGGAGGTGCAAAATCTAAAAGAAGAATTAATAATTGAAACACTAAGGCCCGAGGGTACTATCTTTTGAATGTTATCTGGATTTGTTTTATCTTTCGTAATCCAAAATTGTCAATTGAGTGGTACGTCATATAGAAATTCCCAAAAATTATGATAGAATGATTGTTTTTAATGTCACTTTTGTCCCATTCGGGGTGAATTTTCTCTTTCATTTGTGGAGAACACGAGGTGATGAGCTATTGGATCGACAGGCGAATCAATAAATGGNGTTAATTGACAATTTCCGGTGACAAAAGATGAAAAAACATCGATATAACGTTCGAAGGATAGTACACCCGGGCCTTAAAAAAATATATTTGGTGAAACATTAAAAAAAAAAAATTTGTTAATGTTTAATTTAGGAAATGTCAAAGCATCTGATAACAATGGAATAATCATTTCTTCTCATTGAAACGAGAAGCAGAGAATGAATAGAGAAAATTTATTAATGAAGCCTCAATCAGCTCTTTAAGGTTACGAATGTGGAAGAAATAAAGTAAATAATTACTCTGTAATTCTCCGGAATAGATGGAGTCGAGTGCCTCGATCTCGTCGTGCTGCTCAGCCTTGTGATCCATGATGAATTGTACGAATGAAGCATGTAGATTAACAAAAATTCAACTAAATAATAAACACCTGTATTTTTAACTGCACTCGGTGCAGGAAAAATACCGATGATTGTCACACGTTGTGGGGTCACGTAAGGTTAGAACTAATTTCAAAATAAAACTAGGATATTCTCTAGGGTCCCTAGCTCGTTTAAAAAAAAATTTCTTGAAGATTTTGAAAAATAAAAAAAAATAAAATTCTACAATTTTTCCTAGTTGCATGAAGTCCATTTTATTTATTCACATCATGACAAAAATAATATGTCAAAGTAGGGGAGATTGGGGTAAAACGGACACTTGACTTTTTTTTAAATGTTAATGAGGGGTTGAAGTGTTGATAAAATTTAATAATTTTTTTTTTCAATAGAAAGAACAATTCTTTCCCTTTGTTACGAGCCTAAACTGAGCTCAATTGATCAATTAGTTTCTGAGTTATGAATAATTTTAAAAAAGTCCAGTGTCCGTTTTACCCCACCCTACCCTGAATAATTGAAATGAAAAAATGAAATATAAATTTTATTGTTTTCCCCGGCTGCATGAAACATTGTCAATTTTATTTATTTACATGAATGTATTCATTCGCGGTCATGATAGTTGCATGGTTTTGCGTAAAAAGTTTAGTTTAAAGTTCGGAAACCATCGGAGACTTGGGGGCATCCTTCATAAATGTCACGTTCCATTCTCTCAATGCAGAAATCACGTGATTGAGTTTTGTTTTCCATTCGTGAACGTCTTTTCTACTGTCGTAAGATAATAAGTGTCTGCAACGATAAAAATAAAATAAACAACGCAACGAAATGAATGATGAAAGTGAAATGAAAATGAAACGAAAATTGAATGAAATGAAAACAAGTTAAATAATTAAATTGATTAATTGAATTAGATTAATTGAATTTTATCCATTCTTATTCTTATTATATATATTTTCTCCTCAATTCACAATTACAACATTGAATGAAGAGGAATTACGTTAAAGATCAATGAAATTTTTTTTTGTGAGCAAAACAAAAGTCATTCGAAATCTGATTCGGGTAATAGAAAAATCACGAATTGAAGGCTGTCAATTTTGAGAAGAGGATGATCGACTAGAAAATATAGAAAATTTGTTCTCCTTCATTTGTGTCTGTTGAAACTTGGAATCACTGTTTTTTCTTCGAACACGAACGAGATATGAATATTTTAAAATTTCACAATCTAATTTTAACTCGAAGAAGTGAAAAAAATTTAAAAAACGGAGACAAGAAGAGATGAAAAAAATAATTTTTCAATATCTCTGGCAATTTTTTTCAAAACGGATATATTTTGTCAAATAGGGGAGAGTGGGGTAAAACGGCCCCTTTTGATTTTTTCAAAAACGTTAACAGCTCATTCAATTTCAAATAAAATGAAATAACTTTTTCCCAAGGAAACTCCACTCCTTCCCTTTAGAATGAGCCTAGACTGCTCCCAATTAATCAATTTATTTCTTCGTTATGAGTATCACAAAAAAGTCCAAAGGGGCCGTTTTGCCCCACTCTCCCTGAATGGAAGAATCCCCACAAATTCAATTTCCATCGTCTTCCGATAGAATGACTGCAATAGACTCCAGAAATTGAGAACTGGATTCTAAAAACGTCATTTATGCCACTAATATTACCTAATAATAATAATAATTACCAAATTATTATAACAATTTGAAAGCATATGGTCGAGAACATCAGTTTCGTTTGAATAATAATTACCTCTGAACCGTATAAGACTGTCTGCAATTAACCAAAATGCTATCGACATCGCCCACCTCCCTCACCCTCACAGTCTCCACAACAACAGTTCTGGGTTTAGCACAAAGTTCCCTGTTGACTTCCGAGATGTTGTCATTGGTGCAGTGGACGAGATCAATGCTCCTGACAGGGGCCTTGGACTCCTGTTCCCTGGGATAATTCCAGAACATCATAATATTCCCCTTGAGGACGCACCACCGCCTGTTCCAAGTGACGAAGCCCCCAGTGTCCTCTCCATAATTGAGGAAGCCCTGATGGCAGACGGACAAGTGAAGTTTGCAGGAGAGATTGAGGTCGACGGTTCCAACGAGAATGGAGCCATGAGGGACAGCAGTCAGTGGCCAGGGCGAGGCGAGTCCGAGGTCGTGAAGCCCCAGGTTCAGCTGTCCAGACTTGGCGAATGAGGACGAGGAGGTGTCCTGGTGATGGTGAGGCCTGGGAGAGGTGTGTTTTTCGATTCGTTTGAGGAATTTCGTGGGCGAGGGGCAGGTGACAGTCTTCTCCAGCCTGGGACTGGCAATGTGATACTTGTCCTCGTGATTGTAAACCCCCCCGGACTTCAATTTGAGGGTGTAAACCCTGAGGATGATGTTGAAACTGGGCTTCAAGTTGTCAATGGTGCACGCAAAGTCTGAGAATTCGAGGAGCATCGAGTCCACTGGACGAGGAACAGGGGAACTCCCCCAGACGTTGGTCCCCTCGATGATGACGACTACGAACCACTCCACCAGTTCACCAGGCGATGGCTCCCTCCTGAGGCACTCACGAAGACTCAGATTAATGTTTTCGATGGTGACTTCTGCACATTCTGTCATGTCCGATGGCTCTCTATCGTGAGGAATGTCCTCTGAGGGGTTGCTGAGCTTTTTCAGCTCCTCCTGGAGCAGACGCTTGCGAATCTCAGCGATCAGCAGCAGACGCTCTGATTCCACCTCCTCTGAACTGCCTGTGAACTCTCGACTCGTTCGGCAGACGTGCAGGGCTTTACTCGCTTGTTGAATCATGCACTGCTGGATCTTCATGTTCTTCAGGATGTGCTCCATCATGTCCATTCGATCCTTGTCGAAGGACAGTTGACCCAGGGGCTCTGCGGGGGTGGGGACCTCTGGGGATTTTTCTCTTCTCAGCGCTGCTCTGAGTTTCTGGAATTTAAGAGGGGATTGTTCCGAGATTATCAGTCAATTCAGTAGCGAAGTGGCAAAACGGTTCAAGTCGGCTTATCTCCCAGTTGAGTTTTTGAAGAATATTTCGAATCTAAGAGAAATAACGAAATTTTCGTAATTATATTTGTTGTAGTTCTCAATCGGCTCTGCAAAAAAGGTGATAACAAAAAATTTCCATCTCCCTTAGATTCCGAGATATTCATTGAAAACTGGTCAATAGTCAAAAATGACTTGTACCGTTTTGCCACTTCGCTACTGAATTAATTTTAATTGGTGAATTATCTTTTCGCCAAACAAAATTAACAAACAATCGCACAATCGGTTTTTTGTTAAATTTTTTAACGTTTTTTTAACATTAAAAAAATACTTTTTAATGAAAAACCATTTTTTTAAATTTTTTAAAATTAACAAAAAATTTTTTTTTCAATTTTTTAAAATTAACAAAAAAAAATTTTTGCTTGAATGAATGATTGCGTCAAACATTCATTTTCCGACTGTTCCATTTTGCCCCACGTTTCATTTTCCGCGATCTCCCCTCCGTGTAATCGCCATCTTCACCTTCTTAATAAAATATTTTTAAAAGAAAAACATTTTTTAAATTTTTTTTTAAATTAACAAAAAAAAATTTCTTAATTTTTTTAAAATTAACAAAATTTTTTTTTCAATTTTTTAAAATTAACAAAAAAAAATTCTTAATTTTTTTAAAATTAACAAAAAATTTTTTTTTCAATTTTTTAAAATTAACAAAAAAATTTTTTGCTTGAATGAATGATTGCACCAAACATTCATTTTCCGACTGTCCCATTTTGCCCCACGTTTCATTTTCCCCACTCTCCCCTCCGTGTAATCGCCATCTTCACCTTCTTAATCCTCTGCGAGAGTGACCTGTACATCTTCAAGCTCCGCTCCAAGGTGCTGCTGTCCCTGACCCCTATCGAGAACGTCTCATCATTGTACGAGCAGTCGCCCCTCCTGTCGTCCCTCCAGAGTCTCGTGATCCTCCTGTAAAAGGGTGTCCTCTCCTCCGAAATGAGTTCACTGGCATTAAAATGCGAATTAGTCCTCTCCCCGGCCCCCGACTGTCCCCCGTAGGTGACGGTCGTGTTATTGAGCTCGTCCCCCAGCGCATCCTCGAGGAACCTCTCCACCTCGTACGGTATCCCCTCCTCCCTGCTCTCAGCGACCCGAATCGAGGAAATAGTGCTCTCGACCTGGTGCAAATATTGTTGAACTTTTTTTTACATCCATGCAAATTCAAAAACATTTTTTTAAGCACTAAATATTGATATTGTTTGCAATAAATAACGTATCAATCTCAAAGAGGAATACTATGTCATTAAAACAATTAAAATAATAATTAGATATAAAACAAACTCGAGAGCCTCTCCTGGCCTAATGTTTATACGCTCTATTAAATAACGTTCGTCGAGCTTTTTTTTATACTAGTTTTTAAAGTTTGTAAATATTGTAAATAATGACTGTTATTCCAGCACACGGAGAGAAATATTCAGTAAAAATTACGGAACTCACAATTCGCTCACCGATTACGGAATGGACTCAGAAAATTTAAGTGACGATATTGGAATTTTTCACAGGAGATTCACACGGAGAGAAATATTCAGTAAAAATTACGGAACTCACAATTCGATCACCGATTACGGAATCGACTCAGAAAATTTAAGTGACGGTATTGGAATTTTTCACGGGAGATTCAGATAAAAATTACGGAAGCTCTGGAAAAATTCCGTGACAGTTCCGTAAAATTTCCTACAACCACATTTCGTTCCGGAATTACGGAAAAGAGACGTAATTTTAATGAATATTTATCTCCGTGCAAGATTTCTTTGACCGTTCATGTATCTCATGATTTTTTTATGTTGTACTTTAGGCCTTAGCGGTCCTCAGCAATTTTACTATGAATTAATGACGTGAAGAACTCTCTCAAAGGTTTGTAAATATTGTAAATAATGACTGTTATTCCATCATACGGAGAGAAATATTCAGTAAAAATTACGGAACTCACAATTCCCTCACCGATTACGGAATCGACTCAGAAAATTTAAGTGACGGTATTGGAATTTTTCACAGGAGATTCACACGGAGAGAAATATTCAGTAAAAATTACGGAACTCACAATTCGATCACCGATTACGGAATGGACTCAGAAAATTTAAGTGACGGTATTGGAATTTTTCACAGGAGATTCAGATAAAAATTACGGAACGCTCTGGAAAAATTCCACGACAATTCCGTAAAATTTCCTACAACCATATTTCGTTCCGGAATTACGGAAAAGAGACGTAATTTTAATGAATATTTATCTCCGTGCAGGTAAAAATTACGGAACGCTCTGGAAAAATTCCGTGACAGTTAAATTTCCTAAAACCACATTTCAGTAGCGAAGCGGTAAACCGGGTCAAGTCGATTTTTACTATTGGCTAGTTTTTGACGAATATCTCGGAATCTAAAAGAGATAGAAAGATTTTTGTCATGACCTTTTTTGTAGAGCCAATAGAGCGTTATAAAAAAAGTAATGAGAAAAATGTTGCTATCTCTCTTAGATTCCGAGATATTCAGCAAAAACTGGCTAATAGTCAAAATCGACTTGACTCGGTTTACCGCTTCACTACTGATTTCGCTCCGGAATTCCGGAAAAGAGACGTAATTTTAATGAATATTTCTCTCCGTGCAAGATTCCTTTGACCGTTCATGTATCTCATGATTTTTTGATGTTGTACTTTAGGCCTTAGCGGTCCTCAGCAATTGTACTCTGAATTAATGACGTGAAGAACTCTCTCAAAGTCTAAATTGTCCCAACGTTTCGACTTCGTCCCAACGTTTTCGATGACTGTTATTCTTGAATAAAACATGGTTAAACAAAAAAAAAGTGCTCTCGACCTGGATCGAGCTCTTGGTCTCGGCGCTGGTCATGGGGTCCGGGTTGCTCGTCATCAGGGAGGCCCTGGTGGACTCCATATTGGGCCTGCGGCCCCTTCTCCGGAGTCTCGGGGTCTCCCCAATGCCCTCCCCCCCATCGCCGATCGCTCTTGCCGCTCTCGTCTCAGAGTTCCCTTCCAGGGCCTCTCTCACTCCCGAGAGCGCGGGGTAAATGCTCCCGGAGGTCTCGGCCACCAACCCCATCTCCAGGGACTCGATCTGCCGCTCCAGGTCCTTAATCTCAGTCGACAAGCATGAAATCATGGAATTGCGCTGCGTGTGGTTGACGATCACCGGCTGCACGTCGTAACGCTCGTCGCTTATCGCCTCGATTACTCTTCTCCTCCGGGGGAGGGTCCTCGAGGAGGCCCTCCTCAGCATTCTCTGGATTTAAATAATTCAGTAGCGAAGTGGTAAAACGGTTCAAGTCGACTTAGTCAACTCCCCAGTGGGGTTTTTGAGGAATATATCCGAATCTAAGGGAGATAGCGAAATTTTCGTTATGACTATTGTTGTAGCACTGAATCTGCTCTACAAAAATGGTTACAACAAAAATTTTGGTGTCTCGCTTGGATTCCGAGATATTCATTGAAAACTGGTCAATAGTCGAAATTGACTTGTACCGTTTTACCGATAATTTAAGGGAATTATTTGGGATTAATTGCTTGCAGGGCTCACCTCGGTGAATGTATCGGTATTTTTCGTCTCCATTTTGGAATGAAAATTGTGGATCAGGAGGGGCACAAGGGGACTTTGGGGACTGTCGCACAACTGGATGTAAACACAGGGGTGGGGACCGTCGGTGAGGCCGATTTCCCCCGGAGAAATTATTTTAATTCGGGGCCGTTGCACATGGTGCGTGTACTACCGCCAATATTTGAGTTTGGGTCTACCGCAAATATATTTATCGAGTGTGCATGGGTTTCTAATAATATTTCAGGGAGAAAAACTTGAAGCAATGCATCACGAACAATAGTGCAGGGTAACGAATCTGTGATTTCTCGGATTGTTCTATTATTTACATATTCTTTTCTTTCCTCTGAACCTCTCCTCAGAAGTTGACGCCTCTCAATTGTGTCATTCTCTTCTTTTTCCTTTTTTTGACACATCCTTTTGTATTTATTTCTTCACCTCATTAATTTAATAAACCTTTATTTATTTCAGTAGCGAAGTGGTAAACCGGTATAAGTCAATTTTTACTATTGGCCAGTTTTCAATAAATATCTCGGAATCTAAGGGAGATAGCGAAATTTTTATTGTAACCTTTTTTGTAGAGCCGAGTGAGAGCTACAGCAAAGATGATTATGAAAATTTCGCTATCTCCCTTAGATTCGGAAATATTCCTCAAAAACTGAGGTGGGAGATAAGTCGACTTAAGCCGCTTTACCACTTCGCTACTGATTTAAACCTACTGGCCTTTCAATTGGTGTCAGAAGTAGGATCCGAACCCACGCCCAGGGGAGGTAGTAGTGTAACGCATCTGCAAAACCCGCCCGAGGTGCACATGCGATTTTTTAAGGGTGCCAAGTGAATTTGGCGATGACCTTGAAAATTGACATTCACCAACAAAGTTATAATTTTTTTAATTAATAGTATTAGACAGATGGTGAACATCGGTGACAATTTTAAAATTTTAGAACTTATGGATATCGAGAAATTAAATAAACAAAATCAGTCTTATACACGGCCTCTTATGGAGTTTTGATTGAATTGAACGTTTCAACCCCTAGGAACTCGAGAAAAATTTGAAAAAATTTGAAGATATGGGGAATGATGTGTTCAATGTGATGGCGACAAAAAACAATGGGATACCGGGGTGAATAAGAGAGATATTTCAACCCGCCGTACCCATTTGATCCCATGCTTTCTCGAGGTTCGACACGCGAAATCGAGGATTTTCCGCATTTATTTTCTCGATGTCTAGTTCCGGTTGCGGGTTTGAAATTTCGTCGGATGGATGAATACATATTTCTCCAATGATGGAGGGAAAGAAAAATTTTTTTATGAATCTTTTTTTAAATTCACTTGGCACCCTTAACACGCCTGCAGAGGAAAGTTCGTATTTTGCTCTTTGATGAGCGGGAGGAAAATCAGAACTTTCCGGGCAGGGGTGTGAAAAAAAAACTTTTGGATTATTTTCATGCATACATCGTCTTCTATTTACTACCCAGCTAACAATTTACCGGTAAATTTACGGATATTTACCGGTCTGTGTATGAATGTTTGAACCAGTGGAACAATAATAGCTCCCAAATGGCGTCTTTATTTTTTTTCAGGAGTTGGTTTTCCGATAAAAAACAATCTTTATTATGTAAACTGAAAATATAAAAGGAGTACAATTGAGGCTTCAACATATATTGAGTTTACCACTTCATGAATTCTAACAGTCAAATATATTCAGAACGCTGAGGGCGATGAGACGTGGCAGTGTGAAGCAGGGTTGCCAGATTTTGGCTATTTATAGCCAAATCCTGTACAATTTTAAATGGGCTGACGTTACGATCTGACAACACTGGTGTGAAGCGTCAGAGCGAAGAAATTCATTCAAATTGCTTTTTAATTTACTTGAAGCAGGTGATTAAACGCAAAGTATGAGACTGATGATGGTGACTTTATCTCGAAGGCATTGCCAGATGCGGCTCGATAATTTTCTTTATGAACGACGCATTCAAATGCTCATTAAATCTTCAAATCCTCTTAATGCCCGGGAATATCATTTCGATAAGAATAAAAATCCACTTCAAAGAAATTCAGACGATATTTGTACTTATGGCGCCGTAATAGATAATGAGGCTTTGTGGGCGGTTCCATCGGGAGATTTTATAAATTGAAATTATTTTCGGGATTTTTACCCACAACGGATTTCCAGTGACACGACTGTGCGCAACGGGAACTGATGTGACGTCTGGTGAACGGTAATAATTAATCATTCTTACAGTAAATGGGTGAGGGCAACTAGAAGGCACAAGACTTAACACGCTTTCTCAATTTAATTAATTAATTAAATTAAAAATGAAAATTGAAAAAAATGAATGAATGATGAGTTGAATTGATTGAAAATTGAATTAATTAAATGAATTAAATTAATTTTTAATTTCTATTAATTAAAATAAAATTCATTTATTAATTTTTGGTTTGGATTTTTTTTAAATTGTTTTTTTCACGATAAATAAAAAATTTGTTTCTGAAATCATTGAATAATTGCTTAAAAAATTTGTTTGGGTGTCCTTTTGACCGCGTTCGAAGATCAAGGCGAAAGCAATAATCGTTATTTTGATCGTTATTTTGATTTATTTGAAAATTTGCAAATTTTTTTTTTTAATCAATTAGAATCCCGAGGATATCTTTGGATATCATACTTCAAATGAATTCAATCATAGCTTAGGATGTTTGTTTCCATGGCACTATCTAGGTTAATTGAATTTTTATGATTTTTGAAAATTTCGTATTGTTCATGAATTTTCCATAAAGTGAGCTTTCTGATGATTTTTTAGTTGAATAAATGAGTGGTAAAAGTGATAAATGTATATTTAATAATCGGGAAAAAAGTATATTGCTAATTCATTAGCAAAAATAACTATAGGGGAGGGTGGGGCAAAACGGCCCCCCTTCAATTGTCAATAACTTGTGAATGACATTGTGAAAATTCCCAGTTTCAACTTCATTTTGAAGATAATTTTTCATTCTTCAAAACGAGCTCTAACTCATCCCAATCGGATTATTGAATCGGAAAATATTGACGATTGAAGGGGGACCGTTTTGCCCCATCCTCCCCTACTATTCGCAATACAAGAGCAATTTTCCACTTATTCCTCTTAGATTCACCTGTGTAAAGGAAAGAATATAAACTCAGACGAAGTGGAGCTTCAACACATATCCAGTTCGACTCATCATGAACTTCAATTTTATTACTGTCCTCCTCTGCGTTCTGTGTTCATACACTACCGTCGGAGTACGTGGCGGTGAGTAAAATAGCAATTCGCAGGCAGCTGTACCCATCGCGAATTCTCATTTCTAGTAATCTCTCTTTCTAGTTAATTAGAAAGATAATTCAGTAGTGGTGGTAAAACGGTACAAGTCAATTTTGGCTATTGACCAGTTTTCAATGAATATCTCGGAATCTAAGGGCGATAGCAAAATTTTTATTATAACCATTTTTGTAGAGCCGAACGAGGGCTACAACAAACGTAATTACGAAAATTTCCCTATCTCCCTTAGATTCGGAAATATTCCTCAAAAACTCAACTGGAAGATGAGTCGACTTGAACCGTTTTACCACTTCGCTACTGAATTTTCCCGAATTATTTAAAACTAGGGGGCTTCGCCCGCTGCTCGCTCCGCTCGCTTCGCTCCCCCCCCCCCCCCCCCCNGCGGTGTGACCGTACCCATAAACATCTTCCATATGAGCACCCCCTAATATAGTAATCCTCCATAAATATCGATATCCCCTTTATGACCACCCCCTCATATAGACATCCCTTATAAATACACGCACCTCCTCGTATAGGCACCCAGCGTCCCCTGAACTTGAGTGTCCCCTGAATTTTTCGCCTTATTTTTTTATTTATACAGAGAGAAATCCGCGGATTTTACAGTACGCACGATATTGCAATAATTTATAACTCAATACGTTCACTCAGAGAAACAAAAATGCACATTGAGAATGGCGGAGTACTACGAAGAGTTGGGATGCCAACCTTTATATGCAAACGAAAGCCACATCTGTGCGCCCCAGTACAGCTGCAAAAATATCGAAAATCGAAATCCGGATGTGTGTTATCTACACGGCGTAGAGTATCCTGTGGGGTCTTCTGTCGATGGAGGATTCAGGATCGAGTGTCGGTGCACCAAGCAAAGGCCGAACGCCACGTCAGTAGAATTTAAAGTGTCAAAACAAATAACCATTGCAGACAGGATTGGGCGTGTAAATTACGTTGGTAAATTACACCGTTTTTTACCGACGTAATTTACGTTAATTACCTCGACGGATTTTTTATATTTTTTACATTCCTTCGAAAAGCTCGCAATTTTCAATTACTAGAATGTTTTATTTTATGCCGACTGACGAAGACGCAGTATTGGACACATAAAAAATAGTATACTATGGCCCGAGGACAGATAAACAGCGAATTTTAATTTCACTTTGTTCGATTAGAACGCGGTTCTCGATACTTGAGGCATAAAATATCATTTTATGTCCCTAGGATCGTAAAACTGCGATTCTAACATGGATTTCCTCGGTTAAATCGCGGTTTTCGGGCTCAGAGACATAAAATATTGTATGCCACACGGCGATAAAACTATTTCCTGACTCGAGTGATTAAAATCCTCGATTACGAGGTGAGACCCTCGTGGTTTATCACCCTTGCGAGGTATAATCATCGCGAAGCTTCACGGTTTACGATAAAAGGTAACGTCGGCTGGTTTTTTTACATTTTTTACATTTATTAGGTAAATTACGCGTTTTTTACAATGTCATGTAAAAAACTGCGGTCATCAACAGATGTCCAACGCTGATTGCAGCGCACTAAATTCGACTTCTCGTTAAATTCTTTCTTCTTATTATCACTATTGTACATCTCTCTATGTTATGAAAATCAAAATCGCCTTGTGGTGATGAAAATTTGGTACTTGAAATTAAGACTCCAAATTTAAGGGTCACAAGGGTTGAAATAAGGGTCACGAGAGTCAGATTAAGGGCCCAAATAATGGTAACAAGGGTCTAAATAAGGGTCACAAGAATCAGATTAAGGGTCACAAGGGTCAGAATACAGGGCCAAATGCGGGTCAGATTAAGGGTCCAAATAATGGTAACAAGGGTCTAAATAAGGGTCACAAGGATCAGATTAAGGGTCACAAAGGTCAGATTAAGGGTCATGAAGTTCAGAATAAGGGTCACAAAGGTGAGAATAAGTATCATAGGAGTCATATGGGGGTTGGCGTACCCTAATTTTTTTCATGAAAATAAAGAAAAAATAGAAAATGCCATTTTCAATAGCAAAATTGTAGACCGTTTGTTGAGCAAGCTCCATTATTTATTTGCGAGAAGAGAATATCCGGAAGAATCCAGATGTGAAATTCATGTTCATCAATTTTTCTCTGGCATTCTTTTCACTCTTCAATGATAATTTCTCCCAAATTAGAGAAATCAAATGTTGATATTTTTTTTTAGACCGCAATTTGTTTGTCACCTTCTTCGCGAGTGTTCCCTTCCACCACCACCAGGATGTTTCAGAACGACTAGTTCAAGGCAGAACTGCGTTTCACCCGTGCAATGTAGTGCGTATTCAGTACAGGTAACACCGGGAAAAAAGTTTCCATTTTCGGAGACAACAGCACTAATTTTTAGAATAAGGTCGCTGATCTAATGATTCCAGAAAATCAGTGACATGCTTCGCAAAATCAAAACATTTTTTTCTCTGTGAACCGTTGACTTGACATTACTTCTGGACTTCATTGTAGAATTCTCATAACTACAATTTTTACGCAGTCAAGAAACCGGGGGTCGAGACGACGTGCCATGTTAATGGTAAAGTTTACAAGATTGGGCAATACTTTGAACCCACCTCCGACCCGGGACAAAGATGCTATTGTGGCCACGGATATACCGGTAAATATTTTTTTTTTTTTTTTTTTTTTTTTTTTTTTTTTTTTTTTTTTTTTTTTTTTTTTTTTTTTTTTTTTTTTTTTTTTTTTTTTTTTTTTTTTTTTTTTTTTTTTTTTTTTTTTTTTTTTTTTTTTTTTTTTTTTTTTTTTTTTTTTTTTTTTTTTTTTTTTTTTTTTTTTTTTTTTTTTTTTTTTTTTTTTTTTTTTTTTTTTTTTTTTTTTTTTTTTTTTTTTTTTTTTTTTTTTTTTTTTTTTTTTTTTTTTNCCAAAAATTGTGACACTCTAACTCTCAGTTTCATTGTCGAGAGGGAATAGAGAAATAAAATAAAATGGTTTTTTTCTAAAAATTCGTTTTTTGAATACTATTTCGCTCCATGAAATCAAACATGGACACTCTGAATTTTTCGTCAATGTTCTGTAAGGATATTTTTCCGGGCTGTTCACGCAGGAAAAATCATAGCACAAAATCGAATTTATCAATTAAGCTCAATCTAGGCTCATCGAAAAGAAATATTCCATTTCATTATCAGTTCAATGACTCATCAACATTGAAAAGAAAACGAAGTGTCTATTCGTCTCTTGGGATGGATTTCAGGACAAAATATCGCGCCTTATTGTACATACCAATCCGAAGCTCTGCAGGATATTGAACTAGTTCACGGAGAGGCCGTCGCTAACGGTTGTGCTCCCGTATTCAAGGCTCCAAAATCGCCGGGCAAAAGGACTCCCTTGTTCTTCAGATGTCGTAAGTAACTACGCTGAGAAAACAAGTTTTTCTTTCAGAAGTACTTCGTTACTTGTATCAAGAAATTCGTGGCTTAAAAATTTCCAAGCGCAGGTGTTGGTAGACTATACGGACCCTTTCTCAATATAAATTTTATATTTGGGAATTTTTGGGACCCGATGCCAGCCACGTCCGCACCGTGGGTCCTGGGTAACGCCAAGAGCTGGTAAGGCTCGTAATTCGAAGCTTTACCATGCTCGTGAATTTAGAAAGTGACTATCTTTAAATTAATTTATTAAAATAAATTTGCCTTTTGAAGGAGGGTGGCGAAATGGGAGGTCCCGTACACATACCCGGCCACTTATATAATTATATATAGTGTTCCGAAGAGTCCTAAATTCACCTCTGGCAACCCACTCCCCATGTGACAATTTCTAGCAGGGTATCTGGCAGGGGTACGTATTGTATACCAAAACCCAAGCGCACAGTATCTCACACTAAGGAAAAAAAATCTTACGCCAAGAAATTCTGTACTTGTCCGAAAGATGAGGACAATTTCTTCATATCAAGAAAACGAGGTCTCAAATCAATTAAAGTGGTTTTTCCATTGAAATGTTTTAGAATTGAGGCAAAAAAAAATATTAAACGAATTAATTCAATTTTACTCTCTTGTCACGTCTTAAGTAAAGACTTATTTCTCAAAAACCTTTGTTTTTATCACTGTAGGAAACACGAATGGCATGACTAAAATTATGTGAACGTAAAAGACGTAATTTTTTTTGCATATTCCAGATAGAGAGGATGATTATGTTGTGAAGGGCAGACCACTGGAAGAGAGACTGAAAGAGAGATTTGACATGGTGGAGTGCAAGTTCGGTAATTTCACCATGAAATATGGCGACGAATTGAATCCAAGGACTGACGCACCTTTTGATAATGTGCCTTCGGATTGTATGATATGCCTGTGTCTGATAGGACCTGTGCCTATGTGCCAACTTAAGCCTTACGAGAGATGTAAACCCAAATTTGGATCACTGTAGATGTGAAAAATTAAATATCAATGTCAAACTGGAATATCATGGAATATTTTCAAGTCACATTTATTAACACAAATAATTCACAACGTAAATTTTAACGATTACAGTGCCTCCATTCGGAGGCTAAATGTGTAACATTCAAATTTTCCTCAAATCGAAAGAGAAAAAAAAACTCCGTGCAAACTCCCCCATGGAAAAATAAAAAAAAAATATATATAATACAGGCCAATTTAATATATTCTTCGAATATATATAAGATTTATATAAAATACATATGAAACATATTAATTTATATTTTATATAAATGTTATATAATCTCATCTGTATACACAGATAAGATGAAGACATTCTTACAGAGAAAAAAAAACATTAGCTCCTTCAGAAAAATGAAATAAATAATGGGATTATAAGAAGCAAACTCCTTAGCCAAGCAGTCGCACCAGAGGTTTGGGGGGAGCGAGCGAAGCGAGCGAGGGGCGAAGTCCCCCGCGGGGTCGGCGAGCGAAGTGAGCAGAGGGCAAAGCCCCATAGTATAAAATATAAATATAATAATATTATTTTTATATTGTATATATAATTATTAATAATTTTATATAAAATATAAAATATATATGAAACATAAATTTATATTCGATATCGATGGGGTGGGATGTCCATCGACACGACTGTGTGCGCAACTGGAGCTGGAATAACACCTAGGATAAGGTAATAATTAATCACTCTTACGGTAAATGGATGAGGAAAACTAGAAAGCACAGGGGTTAACGCGCTTTTTCTCCTAGATTCGCATATCCAGTCTGACTCATCATGAGACACTTCAATTTTATTAATGTCATCTGCGTTTTGTGCTCTTATTCTATTGTCGGAGTACGTGGAGGTAAGTAAAATATTAATTCGAAGGCAGCTGTATCCACAGCGAGTTCTCACACTGAGAAAAATATTCAATAAAAATTGCGTATCTTTTCCGTAACACGGACGGAAAAATTTAATAGAAAAACCTATCGAATTCGTTAGGAAATTCTATTGAATTTCTATTGAAATGTTCAATAGAAAATATTTAGTAGGAAAAAACAATAGAATTCAATTTTTCTATATAACTTATTCTATTGAGATATTTTCTATGGAATTTGATTTTCTTGATGAGTAGAAAAGAAAAATACACATCACACCGACATACGCACACACCGAGTCTAGGAGACTCACATCACATGACCGCAAGGCCGCCCAGTAAAAAACTCATGCTGCAACATTGAGGGAGCATCGGATTATGTTGGCTTCTGCGCTGTTCAATGCGGATCACATTCACCGACCGCGCAGCGCAGGTCTCAGTTCTCTGGAACTCAGGAACTGGGAATTATGACAATTTTAAAATTCCCAATTCAAAATCATATAATAACGCGGATTCTCCGCGCTTCATCGTGTGATTGGGGTGGGGGTAGAAAAGATTTTGAGGTTCCTCGGGGCGATGTACGGCCCCGACGGACACTCTTCGCTGGGGTTCAGCCATATTAAGTCGCTCTGCGCAATTAAAGTTTTATTATGCTCTTTGAGCTTCTTTAAATTGTTAAAACAATTATTACTTTGGTGTGCCTGGATTTTCCGGCCTTTTCCTGACGTCGCCGTACTGAGGGTCCAGACGAGTTTACCCTGGAGTTTCTCGCGTATCAAACGGTGAGCGTGATTTAATTTGTGAGTGCTCGCGTAGTTTTTCGATTTATTTCTGCGGTGGCCATTTTGGACACCGTTTGAGTGTTAAAATTCGAGCCTTCTGCCTTCGGGACGCGGCACTCAGTGGCCTTTGGCCTCATTCCTTTATTTTCATTAGTGAATATTAATTATTTCATTCATATTGTTGCCGTTTATCGGTTTTGATTTTGGAACTTTGTTCAATTTCTTCATTCGTGTGGCTCGCGCGTCGTCGTCGCTTACGGGTGATCCTCGCGTCTTAGCGTCTCCCACGCATCTCTAAAATTATTATTAATTCTTTTAGTTAGTTAGTATCCCCAAGTTAATTACATTTTTTTTTGGGTTGTATAGCGTCTTTGCTCTCGTGGGAGACCTCTCCCGCACGTGTAAAAGATAAGACTTAACTCATTGGATTAAAAATATTTTTTTTTTTGTTTCGTAAAAGTTTGCATATTGTTGAGTTCCGCTCATTGTAGCCTGTTCCCACACGCCTCCGCGGTTATCTGGGCCAGTCATGGAACGCGGCTCAACGGTGTGACCTTGTCCTTTGGCGGTTAAAAGGACTGGCGCCCTTTTTGGCATTTTGTCTTCTCTCGTTATTCCCGTCGTTCTAATTCCGGGTTGAGAGAGTCCAAAAGGGTCACTGAAAGTTCGTGGAGAACCACGTGTCTGAATCCCGCAGACGCGCTTGGAAAAATACCTCACAGTATATAAATATTTGCGTGGATTTTCTTGTAGTTAGTAAATTTACCTGGCAAAAGTAATTTTTTTTCTCAGTGTATGTAAAGGAAAGAAACAGCTCAACTCAATCAAAGTAGAGTTCCAGCGCATATCCAGTCTGTCTTATCATGAACTTCAATTTTATTATTGTCATCTTCTGCGTTTTGTGCTCGTATTCCATCGTCGGAGTACGTGGAGGTGAGTAAAATAAGTAGGGGTCCAAAATGTCATTAATATTAACAAGGACTTGAATACGTTCCCTCAGGGCCAAAGACATGCTTAGGGCCGACGAAATTCTACAAAGAATTGGGATGCCAGCCTTTGTATAAACGAGAAAAATCCACTTGTCCGTACCAATACCGTTGCAAAAGTATGAAAAATCGAAATTCGGATGTGTGTTATCTAAAGGGCGTAGAGTATTCTGTTGGTTCTTCTGTATCTGTTGTCAACGGAATGCTGACGAGCGAGTGCAAGTGCACCAAGCACACGCCGAACGCCACGTAAGAACAATTTAAAGTGCCAAAATAAATAATCACTGCAGAGCATTCAATTCTTCTCCTCATTAAATTTTCTCTCTTCTCATTATCATTATTATATTTTGTTATTTTTTTTATTAAAGTAAAAAAGGAGAATTTTTCAACAGAAAAATGATAGACCGTTTATTGAACAAGTTCCATTATTTATTTATGAGAAGACAATATTTTAAAGAATCCAGATATGGAATTCATATTCATCAATTTTTCATTGGAATTATTTTCACTCTTCAATGATAATATCTCCCAAATTGAGGGAGTCAAATGTTGATAGTTATTTTTTATTTAGAGCGCAATTTGTTTGTGACCGTCTCGACTGTTCCCTTCCACCACCACCGGGGTGTTACAGAACACGTGATTCAGTGGAGAACCGCTATTCACCCGTGAAATGTTGTGAGTATTTACGTGTGAAAAAAATCAATGGAAAATCAAAACGTTTGTTTCCTCTGTGAACCGGTGACGGTTCATTGTGGAATTCTCATAACTCCAATCTTCATGCAGTTGAGAGACCGGGGATCAAGACGACGTGTCGCGTTGACGGTAAAGTTTACAAGCTTGGAGAGTACTTTGAACCTGCCTCCGAACCGGGAAAAAGATGCTATTGTGGCACTGGATATACCGGTAAATTAAATGGTTTCCGGAATTAATTTCCCCGGAAAAAATTTCCCCAAATGAAATTCCCCCACAAAATACCTCAAATACTAATCAATCAAAGATTTATTTTTCAATTCATCATCAGCTGTCAATTTACAACAACACTAAATTAGCTACATCCTTCAAGAATTCATCACATTCATCAGCATCATAATTGTCAACAATTCTTTTCAAACGCTCATCATAAAACACAAAAAAAAATTATTTTTTTTGAAAATTTTTTTTCCCCAAAATGGGAAAAAATGTCAAGGAAAAAATTATGAAAAGAAATTTTTAAATTTTTTTTCGGGGAAATTTTTTCCGAAGAATTTTTTTCGGGGGAAAAAATGGTCACCACTACGTATAATCAAATTTAATCAATGGCCTGTGGTATCGGTGTAGCGTTGATTATCAAACAATTTGCAATCACCCTCTGCTTTCAGAGTTTATTAATGTTTATATGTCCCCGCTAACCAGTCTAAACCGCCCTCATTATTCCAAAAAAATTTAACTGTCCATCCGTCTCTTGGGATATTTTAAGGAAGAAATGTCGCACCTTATTGCACATTCCAACCCAACGATTCGTGCTATTCTGAACTACTTCATGGAGACGCCATCGCTAATGATTGCGCTCCAGTATACGAGGTTCATCAATCAATGACCAAAGAGTGTCCATTGATCTTCAGATGTCGTAAGTAACTAGGAAACATGAGTTACACGACTAAAATTATGTGAATGTGAAACTCCCAGTTGAGTTTTCGGGGAATATCTCCGAATCTAAGGGAGATAGCGATATTTTTGTAATGACTTTTTTTGTAGAGCGAATTGAGAGCTGCAAAAAAGGTTCAGATAAAAATTTTTCTATCTGGCTTAGATTCCGCGATATTCATTGAAAACTGGACAATAGTCAAAATTGACTTGAACCGTTTTGCCACTTCGCTACTGAATTTCTTTCTGGGCTTTTCAGAGAATGATGCTGACAAAGTCATCAAGAACAACGGGTTGACAAAAATGGGTGTGAAGTGCCGATTCGGTAACATCTCAATGGAATTTGGTGACGAATTGAGTGTGGGGAGTGACATTTTATCGAAATGTGTGACATGCAGTTGTCTGGTAGGACCTGTGCTTTCTTGTCAACGCCGACTGGAGGATCAGTGTCAGCCTGATTCAATACTCATTGGAGATGCTGAAATATTGGTGTCAAAATAAAGTAGTTTCAAGCACAGGTCGACATCGGAAATACAGAATTTATTTTAAAAAATCAATGTGGAAATTGCGATCAATAAAGCATTAATCAACACATTTTTATGCAACATCGAGTAACAATGATTTAATTGTGTTATATTATCATCACTGTTATGTTTCTTTCATATAAAAAAACTTTTTTTTTTATCGTTATCTTAGATCGCTTCGACCCGGCTAGGGTATACTGCGATGATGATCAAGAATTAAAAATGGTTAGATCGCACCATTCTACCGGCCGGGATTTGATCTCGGAACCTTTCGCATGTGAGGCAACGAATTTACCCACTGTGCCAAGCCACGGGGCACATTAAAAAAAAAAAAAAAAAAAAAAAAAAAAAAAAANAATGCTCACCACGAGTGTTTGAACAAGTGGAGCTGTGACAGTTGCCGAAAAATAAAATCCATTATTAACACTTGTCAATAAATTGCGTCTGTTTCTTCAAGGATTCTGCTATCTGATACCAAAGAAGTCGATCATTCACGTAATTCTTGTGTCAACAATTTAATGAATGTGTAACATTTACGTTCACGTCCAATGAGGGAAGATAAAACACTTCAGTGCAAACTGAAGTGGAGCTAATGTAAACTGAAGTGGAATATATGAATGAAGTCGAAGTGAGACTTCTTCACACGTCAAGTTGAGCCCGTTGTGAATTTCAACAGTCAAAGCTTTTCAGCGCACTCACCGCGAAAATGCATACAATTTTTAAAAAAGTTATTAACAACAAGCGACTAAAACTCATAATCAGAAAAAACACGAAAATATTTTCATTTGCTCAGTGTGATTTTCATAAAATAAGACAACTATTTATTTGAAATAAATAAATTGTTTGTTCAAATTGTTGGCCTCAAACGCTAGTTGAAAATGGCCACAAAAGAATTTGTTTGGTTCGAATTTGAAAGTCTCAAACATGAATAATTGTTCTGCTTTCGACAGCAACGAAATATTTGGCTCAAGAGACGGATAATTCACACCAGACGGTGCCTCTTCAGGATGAAAATATCTCATACAGAGGAAAATTTATCAACAAATATTTAATCCCTAAGGTACAAGATTGCTATCATATCATTATTATTGTTTCATTTAAGGGTTCATTTGTTGTCTGTGATTATTAGACAGCCGAAACGAAAAACTACTAAATTAANTTAAAGAAAAAAAAAAAAAAAAAAATTTATGCAATGTGTAGACATTTTACGCGCATTTTACGCATTCCTTACGACGGCCATCCCACCTTCTAGGGACATTTATGAAATTTATGCAATTTGTAGACATTTTACGCGCATTTTACGCATTCCTTACGACGGCCATCCCACCTTCTAGGGACATTTATGAAATTTATGCAATTTGTAGACATTTTACGCGCATTTTACGCATTCCTTACGACGGCCATCCCACCTTCTAGGGACATTTATGAAATTTATGCAATTTGTAGACATTTTACGCGCATTTTACGCATTCCTTACGACGGCCATCCCACCTTCTAGGGACATTTATGAAATTTATGCAATTTGTTTACATTTTACTATCCCTTGTTTCGCATTAAACAAAGATTTTTCGGGAGCAAAATACGTGTGGGAGTATCGAATAGCGAAGGAGTAGTGCTAGAAATGGCATTTCTTGCGTCTGCAGAGAATGCAATTTTTTTTAACTACTAAATCTATTTTTGCGACAAAAATNTTACATTTTACTATCCCTTGTTTCGCATTAAACAAAGATTTTTCGGGAGCAAAATACGTGTGGGAGTATCGAATAGCGAAGGAGTAGTGCTAGAAATGGCATTTCTTGCGTCTGCAGAGAATGCAATTTTTTTTAACTACTAAATCTATTTTTGCGACAAAAATTTTTCATCCCGGCGCACTCTCTGCATGTTTGGCACAAAAAATCCTTTTTTATAATTTTCAAAAAACTATTTTTTTGGCACAAGTAAGACATGTTTGAGAACTTTTTCGTTTTTCTCTCAGTGTAGTAAACAAATTTATTAATTTGTAAAAAAAAAATATTCTTGAAGTAAATAAAAAATTTCAAATGACGATTTTTATTTGATAAAAAAATTTTTTTTTTAAGATCAATAAGATATCAATTTCTAAGGAATTCGGATGATATTTGTACTTATGGTGTCATGACAAAGAATTAAACATTGCGGGCCATTCCATCCGAAGATTCAACAAATTGACAATGGTTTCGGGACTTTCAGAGACAACGGATTTCGATCGGAACGACTGCTTGCGCAGCTGGACCTACACTGACACCTGGTGTAAGTTAATAATTAATCACTCTTATAGTAAATAGGTGAGGACAATCAGCAGGCAAAAGGCTTGCCACGCAGTTTTCTCCTTGATTCACCTGTGTAAAGAAAAGAAACGTATAAACTCGGACGAACTAGGGTCTCAGCGCACATCCAGTCTGTCTCATCATGAGCTTTCATTTCATTATTGTAATCCTCTGCATTTGTTCATATTCTGTTGTCGGAATACTCGGAGGTGAGTAAAATAACAGTTCGAAGGCAGCTGTATCCGCAGCGAATTTTCATTTCCAGTCACCTATTTTTCTAGTTAAGTGGAGAGAAATATGATCATAATATCACAAAATTAATTTCTTACGCCAAATATCTCATCTCTTGAGGAAAATTTTTCTCTTTTTTCCATTTACAAATATTAAAAAGGACTTGAATATCTTCACTCAGGGGCGAAGACATGCGTAGGGCCGACGAAATTCTACAATGACTTGGGATGCCAGCCTTTGTATAAACGAGAAAAATCCACTTGTCCGTACCAATACAGTTGCAAAAGTATGAAAAATCGAAATCCGGATGTGTGTTATCTAAAGGGCGTAGAGTATTCTGTTGGTTCTTCTGTATCTGTTGTCAACGGAATATTAGCGAACGAGTGCAAGTGCACCAAGCACACGCCGAACGCCACGTAAGAACAATTTAAAGTGCCAAAATAAATAATCACTGCAGAGCATTCAATTCTTCTCCTCATTAAATTTTCTCTCTTCTCATTATCACTATTATATTTTGTTATTTTTTTTATTAAAGTAAAAAAGGAGAATTTTTCAACAGAAGAATGATAGACCGTTTATTGAACAAGTTCCATTATTTATTTATGAGAAGACAATATTTTAAAGAATCCAGATATGGAATTCATATTCATCAATTTTTCATTGGAATTCTTTTCACTCTTCAATGATAATTTCTCCCAAATCGAAGGCGTCAAATGTTGATATTTATTTTTTATTCAGAGCGCAATTTGTTTGTGACCGTCGCGACTGTTCCCTTCCACCACCACCGGGGTGTTACAGAAGACGCGAGAAGAACTGCTTTTCACCTGTGAAATGTTGTGAGTATTCGGTGCAAGTAAAACAGAGAGAAAAAATTTTGATTGTCAGGGACATCGTCACTCATTTTTAGAAGCCCATTGCCAAATTTCAGAGACAGAAATCACCAGTCCAGTGTCATCAATAATTGGTGATAGATTTCCGAACATCAGTGACACGCCCCACAAAATCAAAAAATTTTTCTCTCTGTGAACCGTTGACTTTACATTTCTTCTGGACTTCATTGTGGAATTCTCATAATTACTATTTTTATGTAGTTGAGGTAGCGGGGGTCGAGACGACGTGTCAAGTTGATGGTAAAGTTTACAAGATTGGAGAATACTTTGAACCTCTTTCCGAACCGGGAAAAAGATGCTATTGTGGCCACGGATATCAGGGTAAATTGAATGGGATTTTATTCGATAATTATTTATTGAAAATTGTCTGAGGTAATGGAAAATTGTCGACCCTTACGGGGTCACAGAAGGTCGTAAAAAGGTCTTATGAGGGTCCCAATCACCAAATTTACAAATTAACACTGTAGTACAGCCTCAGAAAAATTTGAAAAAATTTGATATCTCATTTTTTATTAATTTTTTATTACGCAGCACAAAATCGGTTGGTTTATACAGCTGTAAAAATTGATAAATAAGAATTATGAATATAAACAAATGGCTTAAAAAAAATAACAAAGTAGTACATTATGTGAGTTCTATTTTGGTGGAATCTTAAGATTGGAGAATACTTTGAACCTATTTCCGAACCGGGAAAAAGATGCTATTGTGGCCGCGGATATCAGGGTAAATTTAATGGAATTTTATTCGATAATTATTCATTGAAAATTGTCTGAGGTAATGGAAAATTGTCGGGTGATGACGACCCTTACGGGGTCACAGAAGGTCGTAAAAAGGTCTTATGAGGGTCCCAATCACCAAATTTACAATTACCGCTGCAGTAAAGCCTCAGAAAAATTTGAAAAAATTTGATATCTCATTTTTTATTAATTTTTTATTACGCAGCACAAAATCGGTTGGTTTATACAGCTGTAAAAATTGATAAATAAGAATTATGAATATAAACAAATGGCTTAAAAAAAATAACAAAGTAGTACATTATGTGAGTTCTATTTTGGTGGAATCTTAAGATTGGAGAATACTTTGAACCTATTTCCGAACCGGGAAAAAGATGCTATTGTGGCCGCGGGTATCAGGGTAAATTTAATGGGATTTTATTCGATAATTATTCATTGAAAATTGTCTGAGGTAATGGAAAATTGTCGAGTGATGACGACCCTTACGGGGTCACAGAAGGTCGTAAAAAGGTCTTATGAGGGTTCCAATCACCAAATTTACAAATTAACACTGCAGTAAAGCCTCAGAAAATTTTTAAAAAATTTGATATCTCATTTTTTATTAATTTTTTATTACGCAGCACAAAATCGGTTGGTTTATACAGCTGTAAAAATTGATAAATAAGAATTATGAATATAAACAAATGGCTTAAAGAAAAAATAACAAAGTAGTACATTATGTGAGTTCTATTTTGGTGGAACCTTTAATACGTCGATTTTGCATTTGAAAGTCCGTGATGATTCGGATACATTTTTCATCTACTTTATTAGGATAGTCGTTGTGCAGTAGGGGGACATCTCATTTGAGGTGTCTAGAAGTCCTATCAATGAAAATATCCGCCGAAAACATCACAAATAGTCGGATTTGAAAAATTTTTATTCCGAAACTCCGGGCCGTGTAACGTGTATAAGGCGAATTTACAGGAAAACGTGGCTTTTCAGGAGAAAATATCGAGCCCTTTTGTACATTCGAACCCAGCAATTCATGCGACTCTGAACTAACTCATGGAGAGGCCATCGCGAACCGCTGTGCTCCGGTATACGAGGCTGATCAATCAATGAGCAAAGACTGTCCATTGTTCTTCAGATGTCGTAAGTAACATAAACAACAATAACAATTACATGACTAAGAGAAAAAAAAACGCCCCGTCTAAATTACATGACTAAGATTCAGCAGCGAAGCGGTAAACGGTTCAAGTCGCTTTTGACTATTGACCATTTTTTAATGAATATCTCGAAATCTAAGGGAGATGGCAAAATTTTTCACACTGAGAGAAAAAAAAATTGTCAAACAAGTCTCGTTTGGGCCAACAAAATCGCTAGTTGAAAATTGCAAAAAAAAATTTGTTTTGTTTGGTTCGAATTTGAAAGTCTCGGACATGAACAATTGTTCTGCTTTCGACGGCAACGAAATATTTGGCTCAAGAGGCGGATAATTCACACCAGACGGTGCCTCTTCAGGATGAAAATATCTCATACAGAGGAAAATTTATCAACATATATTTTATCCCTAAGTTACAAGATTGCTATCGTATCATTATTATTGTTTCATTTAAGGGTTCATTTGTTGTCTGTGATTATTAGACAGCCGAAACGAAAAACTACTATCCCTTGTTTCGCATTAAACAAAGATTTTTCGGGAGCAAAATACGTGTGGGAGTATCGAATAACGAAGGAGTAGTGCTGGAAATGACATTTCTTGCGTCTACAGATAATGCAATTTTTTTTAACTACTAAATCTATTTCTGCGACAAAAATTTTTTACTCCAGCGCACTCTCTGCATGTTTGGCACAAGAAAATCCTTTTTTGATAATTTCCAAAAAACTATTTTCTCGGCACAAGGAAGAATTCTTTGAGAACTTTATCGTTTTTCTCTCAGTGTAGTAAACAAATTTATTAATTTGTAAAAAAAAATATTCTTGAAGTAAAAAATTTCAAATGACGATTTTTATTTGATAAAAAAAATATTTTCCAGCGCACTCTCTGCATGTTTGGCCCAAGAAAATCCTTTTTTGATAATTTCCAAAAAACTATTTTCTCGGCACAAGGAAGAATTCTTTGAGAACTTTATCGTTTTTCTCTCAGTGTAGTAAACAAATTTATTAATTTGTAAAAAAAAATATTCTTGAAGTAAAAAATTTCAAATGACGATTTTTATTTGATAAAAAAAATATTTTCCAGCGCACTCTCTGCATGTTTGGCCCAAGAAAATCCTTTTTTGATAATTTCCAAAAAACTATTTTCTCGGCACAAGGAAGAATTCTTTGAGAACTTTATCGTTTTTCTCTCAGTGTAGTAAACAAATTTATTAATTTGTAAAAAAAAATATTCTTGAAGTAAAAAATTTCAAATGACGATTTTTATTTGATAAAAAAAATATTTTCCAGCGCACTCTCTGCATGTTTGGCCCAAGAAAATCCTTTTTTGATAATTTCCAAAAAACTATTTTCTCGGCACAAGGAAGAATTCTTTGAGAACTTTATCGTTTTTCTCTCAGTGTAGTAAACAAATTTATTAATTTGTAAAAAAAAATATTCTTGAAGTAAAAAATTTCAAATGACGATTTTTATTTGATAAAAAAAATATTTTCCAGCGCACTCTCTGCATGTTTGGCCCAAGAAAATCCTTTTTTGATAATTTCCAAAAAACTATTTTCTCGGCACAAGGAAGAATTCTTTGAGAACTTTATCGTTTTTCTCTCAGTGTAGTAAACAAATTTATTAATTTGTAAAAAAAAATATTCTTGAAGTAAAAAATTTCAAATGACGATTTTTATTTGATAAAAAAAATATTTTCCAGCGCACTCTCTGCATGTTTGGCCCAAGAAAATCCTTTTTTGATAATTTCCAAAAAACTATTTTCTCGGCACAAGGAAGAATTCTTTGAGAACTTTATCGTTTTTCTCTCAGTGTAGTAAACAAATTTATTAATTTGTAAAAAAAAATATTCTTGAAGTAAAAAATTTCAAATGACGATTTTTATTTGATAAAAAAAATATTTTCCAGCGCACTCTCTGCATGTTTGGCCCAAGAAAATCCTTTTTTGATAATTTTCAAAAAACTATTTTCTCGGCACAAGTGAGACTTGTTCGAGAACCTTGTCGTTTTTCTCTCAGTGCACTTCGCTACTGAATTATGTGAACGTGAAAGCCGCAATTCGTCTTATGCTTTTCAGAGAATGCGGCTGATAAAGTGCTGAAGAACGTGGGTTTGAAAAGGAAAGGTGTGCACTGCCAATTCGGCAATTTGACCATGAAATACGGCGACGTATTACCTCCACAGAGTGATATTTATTCGGAATGCGTGACGTGCATTTGCACGATGGGACCTGCGATTTCTTGTCAACGTCGATCGGCGGACCACTGCGATATGAATCCAGTGGTCATTGTTGATGTGGAGATGTGAAAGATCAATATCACAATTAAGTATTTTCAAGTTGTAATTAATATTTTTTGTGGAGGCAAAAGATCAGGAACATGAGACATTCAATTCTATTTTTTAAAAATGAAGAAGAATAAACGGAGGCCGAGCAGACCTCAAGTCTTGCTTAGGAGCGATGAAAATTGCGAGTTTATTGGTTCTTATGTTTATTTTACAACAGGGCAAGTTAATATTGTTAAGTTAATATTGAGTACAAATTGTTATAAAAACTAGGTTTTGAGAGCTGGAATCATCGGTGATTTCTGAATATTCTTCATCAACTTCACGTTCCAATCTCGAAGGGCAGTGATTACGTTGTTCAGCTTCAATGCCCATTCGTTTACATCTTTTTTATTGTCGAAAGACAGTAAGAACCTGGAAAAAACAAGATAATTATTATTATTTAGTCAAGAAATTCGTCAGGACGATTATCTGATTGAGGTATTCCACGCCGAATGAGTCAACCGCTGACCCTCAGTGTTGATTACAAGAATTACTGAAAAAAAATTTTTTGAAAATCAACCGTAACATAAGTTGCAAAATTCAAGTTTTTCATTTTTTTTTTTTGAAAATTCGTTATTATGGGCATCTAGGAATCTAAAAAAATAACACCAAAAATACTCGAATAGGCGGTAAAAAATGGAAAATTTCGAGGCTTAATAAATCAAAATCGGACAAATAGAACTCGAGTTATTGGAAAAAAACTCAAAAATGAAGAAAAAATCACATCTCCAAACTGGGTTGCGGAAAAAATCTGAAAAAAATTTGAGAGATAGTTCTTCAACCCCCTAATCCTAGAAAAAATAGCCATTAATTTCTCGCGGTGGAATACCTCAATTCAGTATTGAAACAGTAAGCCGGGTCGTCGATTTTGCCTTTAGTTCAGTTTTCGCTGAATATCTCGGAATCTAAGAGGGCTAGCAAAATCTTTCTCAAGATCTTTTTTATAGCCCTCAATCGGCCCTACAAAAAAGGTCCTGACAAAAAAGTGTCTATCTCCCTCAGATTCCGAGATATTCCTCCAAAACCCCTGAAAAAATACTGAAAAATCGACTTAGCCCGTTTTACCGGTTTCCTTACCGCGCTTTCGCTGCTGCATTAAATTATTTAATTACCTCTGTACTGTGTGACCCTGTCTGCACACCATGAGAACCCCCTCCCCATCCCCCGGTTCCCTGAGCCTCATGGTCTCCACAAGAATAGTCCTGGACTTGGAGCAGATTTCCCTGTCGACCTGGCCAATCCTCTCCGAGCAGCACTGCATCAGATCAATAGTTTTCACCGGGGGTTTGCACTCCTGCTCCCTGGGGTAGTTCCAGAACATGAGGGTGTACCCCTTGAGGACGCACCAGCGTCTGTTCCAGACGATGAAGTCCCCGGCCCTCTCTCCGAAATTGAGAAAGCCCTGATGACAAGTCGACAAATGAAGTTTGCACGAGAGATTGAGATCGACGATGCCTCGGAGAATGGAGTCATGAGGGACAGCTGTCAGTGTCCAGGGAGAGGACAGTGTCAGATCATGAAGGCTGAGTCCTAAGTATCCGCACTTGCTGAAGGAAGACGATCGAACCTTCTGGTCAAGCTTGACTCTGGGAGATTTCTCCCCTCGTCTCATGAATTTCGAGGGCGACAGATAAGTCCACGTTCTGTTCAACGTGGAATTGAGGGTGTGGGTCTTGTCTTCGTCACTGCTAATCGGCCCACACTTCAAATTCAGGCTGTACACCTCGATGGTGATCCTGAAATTGGGCTGCAAGTTGTCAATGGTGCACAGAAAGTTTGAGAATTCGAGGAGCATCGAGCCCACAGGCCGAAGAACAGGGGAACTCCCCCAGACGTTGGTTCCCTCGATGATGACGACTACGAACCACTCCCCAGGCTCACCAGACTGGGACTCCCTCGTGAGGCACTCACGAAGGGGCAGATTAATGTTTTCGATGGTGACCTCCGCCCATTCTGTGAGGTCCGATGGCTCTTTCACGTGACAAATTTCCTCGGAGGGGTTGCTGAGCTTTTTCAGCTCTTCTTGGAGCAGACGCTTGCGAATCCCAGCGATCAGCAGCAGACGCTCTGACTCCACCTCCTCTGAACTGCCTATGAACTCTTTGCTCGTGCGACAGACGTTCAGGGCTTTGCTCGCTTGCTCAATCGTGCATTGCTGGATCTTCATGTGCTTCAGGATGTGCTCCATCGTGTCCATTCGATCCTTGTCGAAGGATGGCTGACGCGCGGGCTCTGGGGGGCTGACCTCGGGGGATTTATCTCTTATCAGGGCTGCTCGGATTTTCTGGAATTTAATCGGGAGATTCCTCGTTTAAAAAAAATGTGACGCTTCTTGTCAGCAATCCACTCCGCCATGATTGACTTAGTATTATTTCCATGGTGAATTTGAATATCTCATATATGATAAGAACAAATTTAAAGAAGATTGTACTATTAAAAAAATACCTGTTTAATCCTCTGCGAGAAAGTCCTGTAAAGTCTCACGCTCCGATTCAGGGTGCTGTTGTCGCTCGCCCCCCTCGAGGGGTCCGCACCATTGCTGGAATTATCGCTCCTCTTGTGGTTCCAGAACCTCATGATTCTCCTGAGGAACGGCGTTCTCCCCTCGGAGATCAGTTCGCTGGCATTAAAATGCGAATTGCTCCTGTCCGTCGTGTTCAACTCGTCCCCGAGCGCCTCCTCGAGGAACCTCTCCACCTCGTACGGTATCTTCCCCTCTCCCCTCTGCCGCCCCGCTGGAATCGCTGGAATTGTCCTCTCGACCTGCACCAGTTGACCCGTCATCCCCCCGGGGTTTCGAGTTATCACGGAGATTCTGGTGGACTCCATGTCCGGCCTGAAGCACCTCCTCTTGGCCCGCGGGGACTCCAGGATGTCCTCGGTGTCGTCATCGGTCACTCTCGTCGCCAAATTAATTTCACGCCCCCCACCAATCTCCACTCTCTCTCTGTCTCCATTTATAATCTCTAGAGCGGCAATTTGCGACTCTAACTCGTTGGCTCCCGTCGATGACGAAATGTACGAACTTCCGTCGTTGGACTGCGGAGTTCTGCGGGGAGTCGGGCGCAGGTCCTCCTCGATGGCCTCGAGGACCTTGCTTCTGCGGAGAAGACTCATTCCAGAGCTCCTCCTCAGCATTCGCTGCGCAAATTATGATTTTTATTGGCTGTTTTATGCAGGATCATTTCAGAGCGAAGGGGTAAAGCGAGTCAGCTTTGACTATTGGCCCGTTTTCAGTGAATATCTCGGAATCTAAGGGAGATGGGGAAATCTTTGTTAGAGCCTTTTTTGGAGAGCTGATTGAGAGCTACAACAAATGTTATTACGAAAATTTCGGTATCTCTCTTAGATTCGGAAGTATTCATCGAAAACTCAACTGGGAGATGAGTCAGCTTGAACTGTTTTATACTTCGGTACTGGTTTATATTTTTATGAATTTATGGGGGGCTGCAGCCCCTTATGAGCCTCGTAGCCCTTATGTGGACACTTATTCTGACACCTGCGACCCTTATTTTGACCCTTAATTTTGGAGTGCACGGAGAGAAATTTCAATAAAAATTACTGGGAAAAACGTAAAATTACGTTTTGATATGTAATCCGCGAGCGAAGTAAAATTCAATAAAGAGTGAGTCGGAACTGAAATTGTACGAATCGTCACGTAAATTCTGTGATTTTTTCCGTAAAAATTTGTGGCCGATTTTATTGAAAAAAAACACGCAGATGAGACAAAAAAAGAATGAGTGGACATGTACAATGGGAAGTATTCTAGAAAAAATCAATAGAATTAGATTTTTCTGTACAATTTATTTTACTGAAAAAGTTGTATAGAAATTGCTCGACTCGAATTTTCTAAGTTTTTTGTTTGATATTTTTAATGGAAAAGGAAAAGAAAAAAATAGAGCGGAAAATATTTAGAAAATTCATGACGAGGAAGTCCTGTAGGAAATGTATAAAAAGATAAAATTCTATGGATTTTTTATATAGAATAGTTTTTACTGCGCGGAGTTCTTCAATGGAATCGGTCAAAAACGAATAGAATTTTCAATAAAAATATATCTAAATTATGAAATATATAATCCTAAAATATACAAAAATTAATTAGAAATTCAATTGAATTTTCTATCGAATTCGCTGGACCTGTCTACGAAATTTTTTTCTGCGCGTAATGAAATGTGCTATATTTTGTCCCACTGTACCCTTCATTACTCGCAGAACAAATTGCATACTGATAAAAGTCAAAAACTGAATCCTCCGTTTTTCAAATATTAAAAATATGAAATAATCCGGTATTCAGTGTTCAAAGGGCATTCAAATAAGAATAAACTACTGAGATATGTCAATCATTAATTGTTGACGCCAATGGATATTTATAAATGGAACAAATTGAGTGGAATCACCTCCGTAAATGTATCAACAGAAAAAAAAAATTATAAAAAGATAAAATTCTACTGATTTTTTATATAGAATAGTTTCTATTGCTCGGAGTTTTTCAATAGAACCGGCCAAAACGAATAGAATTTTCAACAAAAATATATCTAAATCATGAAATATATAATCCTAAAACATACAAAAATTAATTAGAAATTCAATTGAATTTTCTATCGAATTCGCTGGACCTGTCTACGAAATTTTTTTCTGCGCGTAATGAAATGTGCTATATTTTGTCCCATTGTACCCTTCATTACTCGCAGGACAAATTGCATACTGATAAAAGTCAAAAACTGAATCCTCCATTTTTCAAATATTAAAAATATGAACTAATCCGGTATTCAGTGTTCAAAGGGCATTTAAATCAAAATAAACTACTGAGATATGTCAATAATTAATTCTTGATGCCAATGGATACTTATAAATGGAATAAATTGAGTGAAATTACCTCCGTGAATGTATCCGCCGGTGGAGACTTCATTTCTTCATGAATGCGAAGAAGAAATAAGTGTAGGAATTATAAGTGCATGTGGGTCAGAAGAGCTCTGTAGCACAACTGATTGTCAAGAGGTGTTTGGGAGTGCAATGACTGCTGGTTGGCCCTGCGGATGAGGATGATGGGGGGTGGGTGGGGGCGCAGGTACACCGGTGCCCAGTTTTTGACCTACGGACTAGGACTAGGTACCATTACCCCCACCCGCAGTCTATCCTGCAATTGAAGCTTTCGAATACGAATGAGGGTGACTCATTTCTCCTCTCCTACTTCTTCCCGTCTTCTGCACGGAGAGAAATATTCAATAAAAATTACGTATCTTTCTCGTAATCTCGAAGCGAAATGTGGTTGTAGGAAATTTTACGGAACTGTCACGGAATTTTTCCAGAGCGTTTCGTAATTTTTATCTGAATCTCGTGTGAAAAATTACGATACCGTCGCTTAAATTTTCTGAGTCGATTCCGTAATCGGTGAGCGAATTGTGAGATCCGTAATTTTTACTGAACATTTCTGTACGTGTGATTATTGAAGAGCAGAAATCACGTCGTTGATTTCGCTTCGCTTTTTACCCCTGTGTATCATAATTTTTCGTGACTCCAATGATTTTTATTTTTCTCAATCCAGTAAAGTAGCTCTTTTCAGTTTTTAAATTTTTCAACTAAAATGCATGGAAAAAATTTGAAAAAATTCATACCCAGTTGGTATTATCTAAATTAAATTTCGCAAAATATTGATATTTTTTCAAACATTTCCCTCTTATAAATAAATAATAAAACTTGTAAATAATCAAGTGGTCAAATTGAATTTAAAAACTACAAGATAAAAAATTAATGAATAATTATTGTAATGATGAAACGACAGGAGAAGAGAATAAAACCGATACTTCAAATTTAGAAACATGAAAAGAAACATGAAAAGATAGAAAGATAGAAAAAATTATATAATCAATAAATAAATAAGTAAATAAATACGAAGCTATTCGTTTATTCCTTGAATTATTAAAAAATTGTTCAGTTTGTTTCATTTTCCGTGCCTGCGTATTATAATTTTTCTTGAGTCCAATAATTTTCATTTCTCTCGACCCAATAACCAGATCTTTCAATTAACTTTAAAAACACGTAAAAAATCACACTATATTAAAATTATATAAACCAGTTTGATAAAATAATTAACTGGTGAAATTGAATGAAAAGCCAAGAATAAAAAAATGAAAATAAAGCAGGAAAAATTGTACGATAAATCATTAACTGAATAAATAAATATGTAAATTACAAAATTTTGTAATGACTGACATTTCCAAGAATCGTAATTACGAGGATTTACATATCCCTCGAGGGGATTTGGGTCCGCAAAAATGAGTCGTTGCAGACAAGGCAGGTGGGCCTCATCGAAGTACGCGGTACCTCTCCTCTCCCCCTCTTTCGCATGAACCTACGGTCCCAGGGCAAACAGGTCAATTTCCTAACGATTTCAACTTGCACTGAATATTCCATAAATAAAATGAAATTTGTACTGATTATTTCGCCTTTCAATAATCTTACTCGTGTACAATATCACGTGACTGATTATTTTTTCTATTGATCGACATTTAATAAATAAATAAATAAAAATTGAACGATTCTTTTATTCTAGATCCTAAAATCGAATTGGCCTGTTCACCCTACTTTAATAAATAAAAAAATATGGCCCAGTCAAATAATTTTTTTCTGTTAATTAAAACACTCTTGAAGGTACGGACGCCATCACATCCCCATTTAAGTGACTCTTTTATTTCAGATCCTACCACGAAATTCGAATTTCCCTCAGCCGTCCAGCAATTGGCCTGTTCACCCCACTTTACAGATTTTGAATATTGAAATTGCACCGAAAAGGTATCAGCGGTTTTATTACGGGTACACCTGGAGCGAACGGTAATCCCTCTACCTGATGGATCCCTCCCTGCGGAAATCGCTTTGCTTGACAATCGCAAAATTCCGAGAATACCGAGGAACTATTCAATCTGGGGGATTGACAATGTCAAGGCATGAGGGAACAATGACATTGAATGGAGGCAATCGACTCCCCCTAGCCCCCCAGGCGTCTCCGGACGAGGGGAATGTCGCCCTCAACTACGTGTGTAACGCCACGCACGGGAGACAGCCCAGGTGGGGAAGACTAGTTTGGGACACCGAGAAAAAAAAAATTACTTTTGCCAAGTAAATTGACCAACTAGAAAAAAATCCACACATTTCAAATGCAAATATTTACATGAGTAGCGAAGTGGTGAAACGGTTCACGTCGACTCATCTCCCAGTTGAGTTTTTGAGGAATATTTCCGAATCTAAGGGAGATAACGAAATTTTCATAATAACATTTGTTGTAGCCCTCAATCGGCTCTACAAAAAAGGTCATAATGAAAATTTCGCTAGCTCCTTTAGATTCCGAGATATCTATTGATAACTGGTTAATAGTCAAAGTTGATTTGTAGCGTTTTACCACTTCGCGACAGTGGTTACCCCCTAGCATTTCAGTCGGAGAAGTTGGCTCCCCCCACCATCGACAACGTAAATGTGTTTGGGTGAATCTGTGTGTCCCTCTGCGCGACGGGACTGCGCAGTAAAATTACTCTCGGCGTGTGAGAGAGAAACAGGCGGATTCTTTCTCTCAGTTTATCTCCCCTAGCTCCGCCTCCGGCGGAAGAGTGAGGGCTTCCGAACATTTAATTCCTTGAATTCTGGAAGCCTCTAGCTCTCCGTTCTCCCCGAAAATAGAGAGCTAGGGCGCATCGACTGTAATTCCGGAATGTTGGGGAATTTTACTCCAGAAATGATCGGTTTGCTTCGGAATAGGGGGAGAAAAAAATCGCAGATTGAAAAAACGTCAGTTGAAACATGTTTATTGTCCATTAATTGATTCATTACAACAAGAAAGATTGACATATTTATGGGAACTCGCAAGTAATGCGTATTCTTCGGAGTGACTGCAACAGAAAACAGCTGATTAAAAAATATTCAACAGTGTTTTTGATGGAACATGATTATTTTGAAATAAATAGTCTTCACAGACAGTATTTTGTATTCGCGTGGAATACTCAAATTTTCATGAATAAAAAAATATTTTAGATATTGGGGACAGATTTCGGAGTTTTATTGGCAATACGTCAGTGTTTTGATCCATATGGAAGGTTCATTAACAAAAAGTCGGATGAGACACCTTCAATGCCTCCTCAACAACTCTTCATTCATGATCCCTCGACATATTCTCGACCAATACTCAATGTTTTATCAGTCTCTTCGCAATACTCAGTGTTTTTTTTATTCCAACTAATTTGCAATACTAAATTCTTGTTCTAAACTTTTTAATGTTGTCAGAAGCTCAGAACCATAAATTCAATAAAACAATTAAATATAAAAAAGAAGAATATCAAGTATGAAAAAATGAATAAAAAAATATTTTAGATATTGGGGACAGATTTCGGAGTTTTATTGGCAATACGTCAGTGTTTTGATCCATATGGAAGGTTCATTAACAAAAAGTCGGATGAGACACCCTCAATGCCTCCTCAACAACTCTTCATTCATGATCCCTCGACATATTCTCAAACAATACTCAATGTTTTATCAATCTCTTCGCAATACTCAGTGTTTTTTTTATTCCAACTAATTTGCAATACTAAATTCTTGCTCTAGAATTTTTAATGTTGTCAGAAGCTCACAACTGTGAATTCCATAAAACAATTAAATATAAAAAAGAAGAATATCAAGTATGAAAAGATGAATAAAAAAATATTTTAGATATTGGGGACAGATTTCGGAGTTTTATTGGCAATACGTCAGTGTTTTGATCCATATGGAAGGTTCATCAACAAAAAGTCGGATGAGACACCTTCAATGCCTCCTCAACAACTCTTCATTCATGATCCCTCGACATATTCTCAAACAATACTCAATGTTTTATCCATCTATTCGCAATGCTCAGTGTTTTTTTTATTCCAACTAATTTGCAATACTAAATTCTTGCTCTAGACTTTTTAATGTTGTCAGAAGCTCACAACTGTGAATTCAATAAAACAATTAAATATAAAAAAGAAGAATATCAAGTATGAAAAGATGAATAAAAAAATATTTTAGATATTGGGGACAGATTTCGGAGTTTTATTGGCAATACGTCAGTGTTTTGATCCATATGGAAGGTTCATCAACAAAAAGTTGGATGAGACACCCTCAATGCCTCCTCAACAACTCTTCATTCATGATCCCTCGACATATTCTCGAACAATACTCAATGTTTTATCCATCTCTTCGCAATACTCAGTGTCTTTCATTATTCAAACTAATTTGCAATACTAAATTCTTGTTTTAAACTTTTTAATGTTGTCAGAAGCTCACAACTGTGAATTCCATAAAACAATTAAATATAAAAAAGAAGAATATCAAGTATGAAAAAATGAATAAAAAAATATTTTAGATATTGGGGACAGATTTCGGAGTTTTATTGGCAATACGTCAGTGTTTCTTTTATTATTCAAACTAATTTGCAATACTAAATTCCTACTCTAGACTTTTTAATGCTTATTCAAATGTTTATCAATGTGAATTCAATAAAACAACTAAATATCAAAAAGAAGAATATCAAGTATGAAAAAATGTCTTACTCACTCCACTCAGCACTTGAAAGCCGCGATAACGAATGGCACGTAATGTTCTCACAATAAATACTCCCTGAACAAGAATAGTAACCTCCGAAGAGCACTCATTCGCAGCAAGCGGCGAACTGAGTAAAAACTAAAACCGAAATTCGCCTCCTCCTTGGCCCTTCGCACGCACGCGCAGTGGCGGCTGTCATGAGAACTCGCCAGAGGTGCTTCATTGGAAATCCCCCCAACCGCACACATGTCCACTCCTCAATAATCGAAGTTTTAATTCGCATTTCGAAGTGGAAACAATATTATTCAACTTGGAGATGCCGAGGTCGGTGAATTAATTGATGATGGAGTCTGTCAATCGTCCGGGGGACGAACCGGTGGAGCCTGAGTTCATCCTCGGGCAGTTGAACATCGCACGCCGAGAGATTCACAATTTGAGGTGAGAATGATGTTTCATAAATAAATAAATAAATATTGAGTGAAGATTGTTATTTTCGAGAAGTGAAGGGTATTTGTTCGTTTCGATTTCTCAAAGTGAAATGAACAGCTGAAATTACCTGAGTCAATTTTACTGTATCAAATTCATCGGTTATTATGAGAGATTATTGGGAAGTAATCGGCAAAATGCAGATTCTCAGTGATGAGACCCACGATTCATTGAATCATTTTATTATTTGTGCTAGAACTAGAAAATCGTGAAGTGGTCATCGGAAATGTTGATGAATGAGGGGTTGAAATGTTGATAAAATTTAATAATTTTTTTTTCAATTACAAAGAACAATTCTTTCCCTTTGTGACGAGCCTAAACTGAGCTCAATTGGTCAATTTGTTTCTGAGTTATGAACAATTTTAAAAAAGTCTAAAGTGTCCATTTTACCCTACCCTCCCCTAGTCATATTTAAATTATCCATTCAACTAGTTGTGTTCATCGAATTTATTATTGCTCTTGCAGACAACAAATTAAGAGCCTCAGGTACATATTCGAGAAGGATGTGAACGGTATAAAGAGACTCATCGGTCTCAACTCAGGAGCCAGTACCCCAGGGGACGATCTGACTCCTGTGGAGCCGACGACGTCGACTTCCCAACCGGTGGATACGTCCTGCGTGTCCATGACACCCATCGGAGTTATCAATACCGGATTCCCCAATAAAAGAGCGACTCCGAGGCAGTCGGGAATCGGCAGGGACATGTGTGGGAAGATCACGTTATTTAACACCGTTTTCACTAATCCGGAGCATGCGTTGAATGGACTGCAGGAGTTCTCACACATGTGGTGAGTAAATAAGCAACACTGCAATTTTACATTTCCGTTGAAATTCAGCAATAATTCTAGATTGTGAAATTGAACGAGTCGATTTTTCGTTTTTTGAGTCGTCAAATTATTTTGAGAAGAATATTTTTTGGAGAACCACTGAAAGAGTCAAAAGACAAATTTCTGGAGTGGATTTTCCCAGCAATAGATGAGGTTTTCAGACATTTCAGACATTTCCTTCCGAATGAAAGCACTGCAATCGTTCAAATTTAAGTTTTGCATTTTTCGCGTTATATTGACGCATTATGATCCAAAAAGTTCGAAAATACAATTTTTAGATCGTGTCCATACGTATGTAAACAAATTTTTATTCGCTTGTTCGCTAATGAATCGATGAAATTGAATCTTTTTTTTCTCTCAAACGTAGATATTGCTGAGCACTACCAATCGCCATTAATTGAAATTTTTTCAAATTTTCAAAAATTGGTTTTTCACGATACCTAAGAAAAATGTTCTGAATTGATTGATTGACAGCTTAAACTGTTTGTTCCAATGTCATTAAGTCAAAGTTGAAATATGATTACTACAGCTTTACTGGTTGATTTGATTTTTTGATGAATTTTTCATGAATTTCCCTGAAAGTGAGCGTTTCGATGATTTCTTCAACTGTGATGTATCAAATCCATTCAATTATGTATCCAGGAGTAATTTCCCACTTGTTTTTAATTGATAAGTATTAACCCTGCCATTAAGTCACTTAAATCCATGCTTATATCCATTAAAACGTACTAAAAAATTCATTCACATTCCAAATTCAACCAGAACTCGACTTCATGCTTAAAAAAATAAGTTGTCCAAAACTTCAATTTCAATTACATATTCATAGTCCACGAATGTTTAAAAATTTCTGACATAATTGGCAAATTTGATGATTGAAAGTGATTGAATCTACAGTATTTTTTCAATTTTTCTGGCAAACTTATGATGCAATTGACGTGAAAAAATATAACGTTTTTGCGTTTTGTCATTATTTAATGACTGACGAAATTTTAAGGTGGTGCGAACATTTTCCTGCGTTTTCTCTAAACTTTTAAAAAGAATCACAAAACTAGAAAAAACGCATGAAAATTATCGCACCACTACGCAACTTCGTGAGCCATTAAAGAATGACAAAGCACAAAATCGTTATATTTTTTCACGTCCCTCCCATCGATAATTTGCCAGAAAAACGAAAACAACGTCAATTTTGGCTAAAAGGGTGTCGAACATCCTTAAGAATAAACCCAGTGCGTGCACTAAAAAAATCCCCGTCATTTCCCTTTCCAGGATACTCTTCCACTTCCATCGTAACGAGTCGACCCACATCCGTGCAAAAGTGGCCCCCCCTCGCCTCAACGGCGTGCGAACCGGAGTGTTCTCCACGCGCTCCCCGCACCGTCCCTGCCCGATCGGTCTCAGTCTCGTAAAAATCCTGGAGATCGAGGATAACACGATCCTCTTCGAGGGAGTGGACACAGTGGACGGTACCCCAGTGCTGGACATAAAGCCCTACATTCCCCAGTACGACAGTCCCCTGCACGTCGAGCACGTGCTGAAGGGCGAGACGAACGGCAACCCTGAGGAGCAACTCGAGGAGAGCGTCGAAATAATGAGTGAACCACCGAGAGAAGACGTATCAGGAGACGAGGAGCTGGCCCTGAGGCTTCAGGCGGAGGAGTTTGAGAACTCCTCGACCCTCGAGAGCTCTCCAGGGGCCCTCGAGGCTGAGTATTTACTTCCCCAGGTGGACAATCCCCCAGGAAACGATTCCTCGATTCCCCCAGGGGCTGGGGATGAGGATCCCAGGAATTCTCGACTGCTGGACGGAGCTGATGGCCCCAGTGCAGTCTGTGGAACCGACATGGACTTCCTCAACCGAAGAATGCTGAACCTGAGGCACGACAACTCCCCAGTGAGGATGGGAGTGCGCGAGGCTCCCGATGGCGAAGAGGGACTCGAGTCCCAGGCGCTAAGGCCCTCCCAGACTGTATCTAATATTCAGAATATCCCTGCTGGGGCCTCCAGGGTCAGCACCAGCAGTCTACAGAATCTAAGCGAAGGGGCTGAGGCCCTGGAGCAAGTCGACGTCAGAGTGCCCGACTGGATCAGCCAGTCTGGATCTAGATCTCTGTCCGTTGTCTTCAATGAGAGGGCTTTGAGACAGCTGAATGAAATTGTTAATGACAAGACGGAGGAGCAGAAGAGGGCCATTGAGAATGTCCTCAAGGAGGACCCCAGGTCTGTCTACCTCAGGCAGAGGTGGGCCAATCAGTTTTATACTTTTCTCATTCATGATTTACATATTAGCTGTAGGTTCGATGACAGCAGGGGAATTGTCACTGTTTTTCAAGTCAGACCTGCTGGCAGAATCTGCGACTGTGGGGAACCTGAGTGGCAGTGTCTCGGGCACTCGCCTGTTTCGTAATTGCGGGGAGAATTTTGTATTCAATTTTTTTTATTTAGGAGAGAAGTTAATGATAATATAGGGATTATGGAGTTTTTGGAGCAAGTGAGATAAAATGTTTTGGTTGTTCTTGAATTATCCTTGAAAGGGTGCGATTTGGGGAAAATGTTGAGAAACACTTTTTGGAGGAAATTTAATTATGCACGAAAAAGATTCTTTGATATTTCCTCCTAGGACCAACCGTTTTCGAGATAAATAGACAATTCAAAAAATTGTTAATTCGAATTTGTGTAAAATTCAATTTTCTTGGCATTTCCTCATAAATAACGACAAAAAATTCGCGCAAATGTAAAATTGATTTATTTACTTAAGAAGGAAAGTATAATTCACGTGAACTCATGGAAAATTACGTGTACAATCTGATGGTGGCATCAGCCCCAGCCGAGAAAACCCAGGGTTGAATAGGATGGAATGCGACATCCAGAATGCCAAAGTCGTTGTAAGCCTCGTGATTGGAGAACCTCTTGAGAGGGACAATGAGTGGATTCTGGAGAAGATCGCTGCAATTAAAAATACCATAAAATTAGAAAACTATTTTGAAGCTATTCAGACATTTCTCAAGGCTTATTCTCACTTGTAAACCATTCCATGAGAGACAATGAGGCCTCTGTCATCAGCACCAGATGCAAATAGAGGATAACGTTTGTGAAATGCCACTCCACGCACTCCAGTACCATGCAATCTCAATGTCTGATAGGGCTTTGTACTTAAATCCATGTCAAACCAAAGCATTTTACGATCGTATGTACCAACGAGTACATTATCACCAGCTGAAAGTTGATTTAATAAATTATTGAAGTAAAAAATGTTTAAACACACTCAATGAGTTTTTCTATTATTAATTTTACAATTGTTTGAGTTATTATTTTTTTATTTACCTGGATGAATGGCCATTGTTGATATCCACTGGCATCCAGACAACAATTTCTTTATCATCTCTTGTTTCTTGAGGTCATAAATACGAATGTGTCTTTGAGTCTGAAATATTTGAATATTTTTATTGAATTTCCATTCACTTCAATTCAAAATCAGAGATGAATGTTGTCATTCTACATTATTTATTTACTGTGATTTATCAAAATGAAATTAAACGGCCACTTCATAAAAATTAATCCTAAATTGCCTTTTTTATTTCAACAATTGAATAAAATTAGATTTCTTTCCACGTTTAATCGCCTCAAAATGACCTATTTCATTCTGTAAAATTAGATAAAAAATTCCTTATTCGTCTCATTATTGAAATTCAAATTAAAAAATAAATATTGTTGTTCCAAGCAATATTTATTCATCGTGATTTATCAAACTGCAATAAAATAGCTATTTCATTCTGTAAAATTTGACTAAAAGTCCCTTTTGCGTCTCATTATTTAAATTCAAATTAAAAAATGAATATTGTCCAAGCAATATTTATTCACCGTAATTCATCAAACTGAAATAAAATACCTATTCTACTAAAACACCCCCGAAATTGAATATTTACCCCTGACATTCAATGAATCAACCGAATTCTCCCTCAAAATAAAAAAAATCCATAATTACCGCAACGAAAAAGATAGGTTTGACAGGATGAAACAGCACACACTGTACGAGTCCCTTGGGCCTGCTGAAGGGCATCTGTGACCTCCTCTTGGACAGTTGACTGATCAAGACCGACCTGTTCTGCCCATCTGGCATGACAGTTGCAAAGTAATCCCCCTTGGGATGCCAAGTGACTTGCTTAACAATCTTAAAGTGATTCATAACCACCCTGACCCCAGTGCCCCACAGCTCCCCCTCAGCCTGCTCCCACTGAACCGCAGTCTTCACCCTCTCGCTGACAATGACATCACTCTCAGGAATAATCCCCATGAGTTTATCAGTTTTACTGGTCACCAGGTGATCCCCCACTCCGGGATTTACAAGAAGTACTTTTTTATCAGCAGCAACAGCGATGAGGGAGACAGCCTCGTTCGGACACCAGGCGACACACCTGATGATGCCCCCACAGGGAATGACCTTGACACATCGCCCAGTGGAGATCTCCCAGATTCGTAAATTCATGTCGTCACCACCAGACGCAAAGTACTGCCCTCTTTCCTGAGTTGTGATGGATCTCACCATGTCGGTGTGGCCTTTGTAGACCATTGACATGGTCGTGGGGAAGGGCTGGAGATCTCTGGGACTGGGAAGCTGGGGGACCAGCACCTCGGGGTCGATTGTCAGCTTCATTTTCAGGGCTCTGGGGCACAGGTAGAGGTCCAAACATCTCTGGAATCTGTGATGAGAGAATGCTATTAATGTGATTATTTCTTCCATATTTTTTTCATGATTTCCATTTTTTGGGCTTGATAAAATAAACTTGCAATAGTTGATTAACATAACATTTATGCCCTGAGTGTATGAAATAACAATCATTAAATTACCAATTAAAACACGCAATTTCACTTTTGATTCCATTTAAAAAAGTAAATCAAGCATAAAATGTTAATTTCGTTTCATTAGAATAAAATGAATATTTTTCTTCACTAAAAAAGTGAAATTGGAATAATTAATCATTCCGAATGGTATTCCATTACGAAATAACGATTAAAAACAGTCAATTCTGCTGTCAATTTTGAAGCAGAATTTTTTTTCATTTTACAAAAATAAAATGAAAATTTTCATCAATTAAAAACCGTGAACTTGAAACAATTATTTCAAATATCACTGCATCATCATGCAAAAACAATTCCAATCACCAATAAAATAATTACCTCTCCTTGATATACTTGGGATAAGCAGGCACTTCCCTCAACGACTTGAACTTCTGCGGTATAAAATGAAGTTTCCTCTTCCAAGGTGTCATCTTGAGTTTATTCCACTGCTTCAGCTCCCTCTTATCGAACAAATATTCCGGTGGTGGATTGTAGCTTTCAGCATGTCCAGGCAAATGCCTCTTGGGCGCTGGAATATGCTTGTGAATTCTCCTCATCTCCTCAGCCTGATCATCAGACGCCCAGAGCATGTAAAACTGGGGCTCCCTCTTCCTCTCCGCCCTCTCCCTCTCCATCTCCTCCGAGGACTTGATCCAGCCCATCTTCAGGGCGTGCACTAGCTTCGAGACCTGTCTGGCTTCGTTTTTCGAGGGTAGAAAGGACCTCTTGTGCTCGGGAAATTTTCTCAGAGGTGTTTTCATCACTTCAGAGGTGAAGTACTCGATCCAGGGGGCATAATCGTCGAATTGGGCGTCTGGAATCTTCTGCTTTTGAATTCTCGTGATGAGGTTTATGTCCTCTTCACTCAGGATCACGTCTTGGCCAGTTGTTGGGTCTTTTACGGTCCTCCAGAAGTCGGGATCTTCCATTCGCTTGAGGAAATTGTCCAGGAGGTCCCCTTTCTCTGGCTTCAACAGCTTCTTTCCGTCGAGATTGTAACCGATGTGGGGGTAGTCGTCGTACCACTTCATGGGGATGTTACCAACGGTATTGCGAATGTCCTCTTCGTCAGAGGAGTCGTACTCGTACTCGTCCTGAGGTGGTTTCGACGATGTTGAGGGGTTTTCTGGGGATTTTGGAGCATTTTTCGGGGGTTTGGAGGGTTTTTTGGGGCTTGAGGAGCTCGACAGGGGCTTCGAGGCGTTTGAGGGGGGTCGAGAGGGGCCTGGAGAGGCCGGGGAGGGCTCTGGGGCGTCAGATACTTCGGATTTTTGGTCGTCTTCGGAATCCTCTGGGTCTGAGGCCTCTGAGGCACTCTCGAAGGAGAGCTCGTCAGTCTCGATGTCGGAGTCGAAGAGAACCTCGTCTTTCTCCTCGTCAGAGTCCTCTGGGTGGGAGTTCTCCGGGGCATCGTCGTCGGAACTGTCGTCGGAGTTGGAGAACTCGTGGGGAAGGAGATCCTCCGCTCCAGAGTCCTGTGAGTTTTTTGGAATTGAGGGGTTTTGCGGATTTTTCAGGGGCTGGGGGACAATATCAGAGGATTTTTTCGATCCAAGTTTAAATTTCCAATAAAAAAATCTCTTGGCATTTTTTTTACAATCATTCTTGGGGTAATTACTTTGGAATTGTTATTTGAATTAGTAGAAATTCATTTTTTCTGTTAGGTTTTCAGATTTTATTGTTAATTTTTGCAGATAACGTGAGAACGAGTGGGTTTACGAGAAAATGGAATGAAAACTTTTTTGTAGAGAATTAAATTTCCAACGAAAAATGTTATTTGACATTTTCCTCTAAACCCACTCGTTCGGAAAATAATTTAACATCTGTACAATGTGTGAAAAATTGATTTGGTAAAAAGAGATAAAATGAACCTCGTTAAGTTGTCAGTATGTTACGAACAAATGATGCGATTCGAATCACTCTGGTCTCATTTCAAAGTAGAATAAAAAAACTTGAAACTGAAAAAAAATCATAGAATTTCACTCTGCCGATCTGGAGTTATTGACGATTAAAAACGACTCATTCTATTCTCTCACGTCTTAAACTCGATTATTGAATCCTGCATTCCCCAGAACAGTGATTTTAGCATGAAAGATTGAAAAATTAATGAATTTATGAATTATCTACATTCATGAACAATTCGTTTCTAAACACAAAACAAAAAAATTTCGTTTCTAACATTTTTTGGATTCTAAGACCCACAGGCGCTCCCCAGCCATCGATCTGCATCGAGCTGTCGACATCAATAAATAAATTAATTTCCAAATTACCTGATTGGAAGACGCCACTTCATCCTCTTCATGATTCTCCACCTCATTATGAATTTTCACATCCTGAGACTTTCTTTTCAACAAGTTTTTGCCCTTTCGCGGCATGTTTACGCCATGTGAGTCACTTCACGATAGAAAAAAAATAGAGGTTATGTTTCCCCACATGTACATTCGCCATTTTCCCCCGAAGAGCGCAGGCGCGCTCAAAGTTTCCAGCACGTGATGCACTTGACGTTTTGTTTCGGTACACGAACCCCACAAATCTGAGCTCAAAGGGCCCAAATTTAACAAAAACAACAAGAAATTTGGTTAATTTGATTCAGCGGTTGAGTGGTGAAGGGAGATGTTAATTTTTGGAAATGGAATTCGCTTGGAGTGGACGGGGTTGGGGAAAAATGTGGCAAAAGAACTCCTTTAGAACTAGGAGATAATGACGTAATTTGAAAATTTAAGAAATTCGTTAGGGCAGTGGGGTAAAACAGCCCCTTTTGATTTTTTCAAAAATGTTAACAGCTCATTTAATTTTAAATATAATGAAATAATTTTTTTCCGCGGAAACTACACTTCTTCCCCTTTAGAATGAGCCTGGACTGATCTCAATTAATGAATTTGTTTCTGAGTTATGAGTATCACAAAAAAAGTCAAAAGGGGGCGTTTTACCCCACTCTCCCTTAATTCATTAATTTATTATTGTTAATTAGTTAATTAATTGTTATATTATTAATGTAGGGGAGGTTGGGGTCAAACGGACACTTTTGACTTTTTTTTAAATGTTAATGAGGGGTTGAAATGTTGGTAAAATTTAATAATTTTTTTTTTTCAATACAAAGAACAATTCTTTCCCTTTGTGACGAGCCTAAACTGAGCTCAATTGATCAATTTGTTTCTGAGTTATGAATAATTTGAAAAAAGTCTAGTGTCCGTTTTACCCCACCCTCCCTTAATTATTAATTAATTATCTTGGTAATGAGTCAGTTTAGAGATTTTCTACGAAAAACGACTATTTATTAATTCACTTAGAACTGCGTGTCAATGACATAATTTAAAAATTTAAGAAATTCGCTATAAATTCATGAATTTGTGAAATCCATTAATTTGTAAATTTAGGAGAGAATGTAATGGAGGATTTTATGTCAGGGAATTTCCTCCAAAAAATGGTTAATAATATCTGAGAAGAGATTTTTGTGGAGAGGAAATTTTTAGGTGTGAATATATAATTTAAGAAGTTATGAACAGAGTTGTTGCTTCGAAAATCGAAAATTATTTATTGTTAATTGGACGATTGTGGCGCAATGGAGAGTTCTAAACAAAACTTTCAAAAGTGCTTTTCGGAGGAGAATAAAATTTACAGTAAAAAAGATATCTTGATAACTTCATTTAAATTTTAATCAGTCTCCTCTCACTGATCACTGGCTCTTCAATTTTGCCTGATACCACTCGTGCAAATCTTAAACTATTCACCAATTGTCTTGGAAATTGGCGGACTGTAACCAAGTGCTGAGGAAGCTTTTGCGAACATGAGAAAATTGTACACGAAAAATTAAATCAATTGATTAATAGTCTCAATTTAACAGCCCAAACGCAAATTATTTCACGACTTCACCGATGAATATTAATTTACAAAACCGTTAGCAATGATTGAGAATACTTTTTATTTCTTAAACTCTTCAAACTCTTGAAAAATAATCTGCATAAAGCTTTGAGTTTTTACTTGCTTTTAACGTTAGTATCACGGTTTCATAGATCTCTTGGAGTATCTACACGTTCATAGTTCGTATTTGGAATGCAGGGAGTCGATTTCGGCTTCTGGTTGGCCGTCTGTTGTTCTGCAATAGGTGAATAACGCTTCCAAATCTGAAAAAGGCCAATTGTTCAATAAAGTTCTCCTAAAATTCACTAAATATTCAAAAAACGTTATTGATTTTTTTCAATTATCTCTCAGCTTCACGATTTCAATGAAAAATCTGTAGAGATTCTCTCATAGATAGTGAAACCTTGAGTAAAAGAGAACTCGTGAATTTTTCCATTTCGGTACTGCACAAATTATTAAATTGACTTTCGGCATTTTTACCTTCTTTCTCTTTTTTTGACATGAACATCGTCAACATCCTGAACCTTTTGATCTCGGTCAGGTGATTGAGGTAATGGAACACCGGATCTTTGTTAGGAACGAAGTGCGTCGAGAGGACCTTTAGAATTTCACTGAATGTGTCGGACTCCATCGAATCTTGGAAAACTTTTGCAATTGATTCTGCTGGAATTTGCTGTGAAGAACAAAATCACTCGATTTTTAAAAGCACGAAAATAATTTTCATTTTTTTGCTAAAAATTTCTGAAACATTTGAGGAATCTTGGACCGTAATTTCAGGTTTTGTTGTTGAACACACTTCCAATAAAAACTTTTTTTCCATCAATAATTACCGAAATGATCTAATAAAGAATGGATTAACAATTGATTTTCAACATTCTTCAATAGTTTTTAGAGAAAAATAGTAATGAATGAAGAAATACATGAAAATTGATACCTTTAAGTATTGATAACGAAATTCAGGGGATCTATTTTTGTTCCAATTCATGAGGAACTGCACTGCTGTTCTTGGAACTGGGGGTAGATCCAATTTTTCAACTGAAGACACTTCTGCTGGCTCTTCACGGCTTTCTCTCGATGCATTTTTCTCCAAATTACCTTCGACGTGAGATTCAACCTTTGATTCACATTTCTTGGAGTCCATGGACAGCTTAGAGAGGTCCGAGGTTACTATAGGCACTGATCTCAACGGTTTCTGGAATAAAAAAATGCAACATTTAAAATATTTCAGTCAAGGAAAAAGCTTTTCGATTTTAATTAACACGAATTAATGTAAACAACACGATTAAATCTGGAATTGGAATTATTTCAATGTCTTGAAAGTTCAAAAAAGGAAAAATCTATTGCATTGCATTCAATTTTTAGATAAAAAGCTAATCAATTTCCAAAAAAATGCATTCATACATTTGTCTGTTGACGTTTGATAAAAAATTACTCAATAACATATCAAAGATATGAAAGAACTTATAATTGACGATTCGACTCCTTAATCTGTTCAGGATTACAAAAATTACATTTGACATGTCAATTATTAAATAAAATAAAATCGTACAACTCACCTTCGATCTTTGATGTGGCAATTTATTAATCACCTTAATCTCCTCAACACTGTCCTCAACATCAGGCAACCAATCTCGATACTTAGACGTCCCTCCGTCCCATTCACCTCGAATTTTGGGCGTCCCCTCTTCAGTTATCAAATATTTTTCATCTAGAAATTTCTCAACGCACTCTTCTGGCTTATGTACATCAACAATCTTGAGAGTAATCGTTGGTTTCTCAGACTTAGTCTCTGTTTCTGATTTAGATACTGGTTCTTGTGTTTTTGTGCTGCTTAAAATTAGTGGCTGTAATGCAAAAATCGTTGAATTTTCAAGAATAACGAGGGAGCAATGGGGAAGATGAGGAATACCTTGGAATTGTCGAGTCCCTTTTGGGCAGTGGCAAGCATCCTCTTAGCTTCTTTGTTATCAGCCTCGAGACTCAGTAGTTTCTTCAGGTCCTCAACAGCTTCTGCGTACTGTTTCAAGGCCATTCTGGCAGTTGCCCGTCGATGATAAGCTTTCACGTAATGCTCATCTCGTTGGATAGCTGATGTGCAATCTGATTCTGCGGAAAATAAACTAGAACACAATGAATAATTAATTCATTACAGAAAAACTTGGAGAAATTCACTAATTCGTTAGATTTTTTAAAGAAAACTTTGTAAATTACAAAAAAAAATTGTTGATCAATTTTGTTTGAAAGTTTTAATCCAAAAAATCCTCACATTTCTGTAGACATTTGGTAACAGACAAGACTTTTTTAATTCCTAAAATTTCTGAAACTTTGGAACTTACGGATTATTTAATTCTCAATTGGGCTTTTTTCTTCTTTTTTGCCTTTTTCATAATCTAAAACCTCGTTGAAATATTTGGAGTATTTTAGCAAAGTAGAAACAAGAGAAAAGACATTAAAAAAATTTATTAACTTGTCGATTTCAAAAATACGAGAGAATTTTTTCTGTTGGAAATTTCATAACTTCCAAAAGAAGTCTCACGATAAATTTACGTCGGTGTTTCTATCTTCGAGATATTTTTATTAAAAAAAGGAAATTAGGATAAAGTCTACGAATTTTAAAAGTGCATTGAAAAGCCCGCAAATTCACTTCAGACACGTACTTATCCATTTTTAGATGACAAAGTGCTCGATTAGCCCAGAAAACTGCGTCGTATGGGAAGACTTTGATCGCTTCGCCGTAGCACGCCATCGCTTTGTCCCATTTCTGCTGATTGACGTAGGTATTCCCCATGACTTTGTGCTTGATTGCCTCTTCATGATTCTTCTCCAGCTCCTCTTTACTCAGCAGCTCCTCACCCGAGTCCTCAGACTCATTCTCCTTGTCGATTTCCTCGCATGCTTTGTCCTGGTAAGAAAGAGGAGAATAAATTGAGAGAGAAATCATCTCTGGAGACGAAATCCGTGGTGAATTGGTAAATTAAGGATGTTCAGCCATTTTCAGAAAATCGTATTTTTTCGTGTTCAAGGAAAATTCTATTACTTTTTGGCTGATAGCAGAACATATGAAACAATTGGTTTTCAATTGAAAAATAAAATTATTTCATTTCATGAACAATTCAACACGTCATGAATATTTTTTAAAAAGTCAAAAGTGTCCATTTTACCCTACCATCCCCTACTTGCGATTTTTAATAAACATCCTTAAGTGCATTTTTTCGAGAAAAAAAAAATGCAGTTATGCTAGTTCACCAATTTTTTCGTGTTCAAGGAAAATTCTATAACTTTTTGGCTGATAGCAGAACATATGAAACTCACTTCTTTCATGTTAAAAAACAATTGATCGCAATGGTCTCACCAGAAATAAATAAACAAATTTTTCTTTGCACAGGGACTCTTGTGGGATTTATGTTGAAATTTGTAATTCACTGTTCTGCACAGTTTGGTGCATTTTGCCCATTCCATTTCTAAATAATAAACATGGGTTGGTGGATTGAAATTTTTATCGAGATAAAGGGAACTTCATCTCTCAGTTGAAAAAAAAACAATTTTTTTTAATAGGGGAGTGTGGGGTAAAATGGACACTTTTGACTTTTATAAAAATATTCATAACTCAGAAATAGATTCATCAATTGAGCTCAACTTTGCTCATCACAAAGAGGAATCATTGGTTTTCAATTGAAAAATAAAATTATTTCATTTCATGAACAATTCAACACGTCATGAATATTTTTAAAAAAGTCAAAAGTGTCCATTTTACCCTACCATCCCCTACTTGCGATTTTTAATAAACATCCTTAAGTGCATTTTTTCGAGAAAAAAAAAATGCAGTTATGCTAGTTCACCAATTTTTTCGTGTTCAAGGAAAATTCTATAACTTTTTGGCTGATAGCAGAACATATGAAACTCACTTCTTTCATGTTAAAAAACAATTGATCGCAATAGTCTCACCAGAAATAAATAAACAAATTTTTCTTTGCACAGGGACTCTTGTGGGATTTATGTTGAAATTTATAATTCACTGTTCTGCACAGTTTGGTGCATTTTGCCCATTCCATTTCTAAATAATAAACATGGGTTGGTGGATTGAAATTTTTATCGAGATAAAGGGAACTTCATCTCTCAGTTGAAAAAAAAACAATTTTTTTTAATAGGGGAGTGTGGGGTAAAATGGGCACTTTTGACTTTTATAAAAATATTCATAACTCAGAAATAGATTCATCAATTGAGCTCAACTTTGCTCATCACAAAGAGGAATCATTGGTTTTCAATTGAAAAATGAAATTATTGTATTTCATGAACAATTCAACACGTCATGAATATTTTAAAAAAAGTCAAGTGTCCATTTTACCCTACCATCCCCTACTTGCGATTTTTAATAAACATCCTTAAGTGCATTTTTTCGAGAAAAAAAAAATGCAGTTATGCTAGTTCACCAATTTTTTCGTGTTCAAGGAAAATTCTATAACTTTTTGGCTGATAGCAGAACATATGAAACTCACTTCTTTCATGTTAAAAAACAATTAATCGCAATAATCTCACCAGAAATAAATAAACAAATTTTTCTTTGCACAGGGACTCTTGTGGGATTTATGTTGAAATTTATAATTCACTGTTCTGCACAGTTTGGTGCATTTTGCCCATTCCATTTCTAAATAATAAACATGGGTTGGTGGATTGAAATTTTTATCGAGATAAAGGGAACTTCATCTCTCAGTTGAAAAAAAAACAATTTTTTTTAATAGGGGAGTGTGGGGTAAAATGGGCACTTTTGACTTTTATAAAAATATTCATAACTCAGAAATAGATTCATCAATTGAGCTCAACTTTGCTCATCACAAAGAGGAATCATTGGTTTTCAATTGAAAAATGAAATTATTTCATTTCATGAACAATTCAACACGTCATGAATATTTAAAAAAAAGTCAAAAGTGTCCATTTTACCCTACCATCCCCTACTTGCGATTTTTGATAAACATCCTTAAGTGCATTTTTTCGAGGAAGAAAAATGCAGTTATGCTAGTTCACCAATTCACGACAGAAAATCTTCTCGTCATCAGGGAAATTTAACTCACGACGTCGAAGCTGTCCCAGGCAGAGTAGTCGTACGACTTTATGCGTTTCGATTTGCTGCCGTTGTCTTTGCTCTTGGACTTCGATCTCGAGGATGTCTTCTTTCTTCGTATCGGAGGTAGTGCCTGCAAGAAATTTATCAGCCGTGATTTGTGGAGATTGGAAAATGAGAAAAAAATCTTTGAAATCTTTGAATCTCTGTATTGTTGCACTTCCCCATCGTCATCCTCCGCAAATACTTCAACCGCTACTCTATCCACGAAAAATCGACGAATAACCCCTTGTGCACGAAAATTGATGAGCAAAAAAATAGAATGAGTGTTTAAAAAAATAAACGATTCCCCATCGTTGTGCAAAATTGTCAATCTTCCCTTGACGACGCAAAATTTACCGGTGACCACGAGCCCCCCGAACACCTCCAGAACGTTCCACCAATCGTACAAACAAATCCGAAAAGAGCAGCAGATAATAAAATCGACTGTTTACCTGGCTCGCATCAGGGTCAGAGCCCCTCAGTTCCATGTCAGCCTTTTTCATCTGCTGCTCCCAATTCTTCATATCCAAGAATTCATTGCGAAGAGTATCGGCATTCTCGCGCACCTGCTTCTGAAGGGCGATCGACTTGTCGAGTTCCATTTTTGCTGCTTTTGCGACAATGTACAAAATTTTACAAAACCGGCATGACTCGTTGCCAGGCACGAATCAACAGATTTCTAACCATAACAATGAAAACGGCGAACTCAGCTGTTGCTGGTGGTGGGGGCAACCACTGCTTGAGTCGTTGATCACTGCTTTTCTGGGGAGCGATTTTTGCTCGTTTTGTGTCGACATAAAATCGTAAATTTTAACCAATCCTAGTTGAGTATTCCGAATCTAGGGCTGTCATTGGCTGAAATTTACAATTTTATGTCGCTCCCCTGGGGAGCGATTTTGCTCGTTTTATGTCGACATAAAATCATAAATTTTAACCAATCCTAGTTGAGTATTCCGAATCCAGGACTGTCATTGGTTGAAATTTACAATTTTATGTCGACATAATATGAGTAAATGCTCCCCTGGGGAGCGATTTTGCTCGTTTTTGTGTCGACATAAAACGAGTAAATCGCTCCCCTGGGGAGCAATTTTGCTCGTTTTTATGTCGACATAAAATCATAAATTTCAACCAATCCTAGTTGAGTATTCCGAATCTAGGACTGTCATTGGTTGAAATTTACAATTTTATGTCGACATAAAACGAGTAAATCGCTCCCCTGGGCAGCAATTTTGCTCGTTTTGTGTCGACATAAAATCATAAATTTTAACCAATCCTAGTTGAGTATTCCGAATCCAGGACTGTCATTGGTTGAAATTTACAATTTTATGTCGACATAAAACGAGTAAATCGCTCCCCTGGGGAGCAATTTTGCTCGTTTTTGTGTCGACATAAAATCATAAATTACAACCAATCCTAGTTGAGTATTCCGAATCTAGGACTGTCATTGGTTGAAATTTCCAATTTTATGTCGACATAAAATCGTAAATTTCAACCAATGACAGTCCTAGATTCGGAATAGTCAACTAGGATTGGTTGAAATTTACGATTTTATCTCGACATAAAACGAGCAAAATCGCTCCCCAGGGGAGCATTTACTCATTTTATGTCGACATAAAACGAGTAAATCGCTCCCCTGGGGAGCGATTTTGCTCGCTTTGTGTCGACATAAAATCATAAATTTTAACCAATCCTAGTTGAGTATTCCCAATCCAGGACTGTCATTGGTTGAAATTTACGATTTTATCTCGACATAAAACGAGCAAAATCGCTCCCCTGGACACCGTTCATAATTCGCGAAAACGCAACGTGATGTGGGAGCCATCAAGTGGTCTCTCCACTAACTATTCTTGGGCGGTAACCAATCAGATCAAAGAGAATCCACGGATTTCATTGGTTGAGCTACATCATTGGTTCCCTCCGAGGGATCCCATTGGTTGCCGCCCAAGAGTAGTTAGTGTAGACACCACTGGTGGCTCCCACATCTACGTCACACGTCAGTGACGGTCACATGACCGCCAACGAAAATAAACAAGGCAAAACAATTTCGTCTGAATCGTTTGAAGATTTTTTTTCGTGTTTTTAGAGTTAATATCAGTTTTTATTAGAGCTGAGGGGGCGAGATGAGTAATATATATATTCAGGAGCCTCCGACCACCGGAAAGGTGAGTTTTTGAAACGTTTTTGAGAATTTTTCTGGGTTAAAATGAAAATTCTAACCTCAAATCGATGGAAGGAGAGGTGTTGCCAGTGAAGTATGAATGCATGTGGAATATCTTTGGAGCTCATGATACGATTTTGACGATTTTTTTTTCATTTTGAAGGTCATGAAAAAAAGTTTAGAATGACGTTTGATTTTTGAAATTTCACTCTGCCGATCTCGAGTTATTGGGGTTTGAAGGGAAGATTTTTACTGAGCATTTTCCTGAATAGAATTGGGACTTTTTTGGTTGGAGGGAGTTTATCTTGAGAACGGTAGGGTTTAGAGGAAAACATGAAAAAACATTTTTTGTGGAAAATAAAATTTGGCATAAGAAAGGTCGAATGACATTTTGGCGTAGAACCACCGGTTCTGGAGATAACTCAATGTTTAAAAGATGCGAAGAGTGAAATTTTTTTCTGAATTAATTTTTTGGTTTCGCTTTTATGGGGTGGGATTTATTTTCGGTTCGATAATCATGATTGTTGATTGGGATGATTCCAGGTCCTGATGAAGACGTCGGTGGGGGACCTGGACCTGGAGCTGTGGACGAAGGAAGCCCCGAAAGCATGTAGAAACTTCATCCAGCTGTGCATTGAGGGATACTACAACAACACGATATTCCACAGACTCGTCAAGGGGTTCATAGTGCAGGGAGGGGATCCCACTGGGACTGGAGAGGGCGGAGAGAGTATTTACGGACATCCCTTCAAGGTTAATTCACAGAATTCATAATCAATTCAATAATTAACAACAATTTGTACTGAATAGAAAATTTTATAATCACAGCTTTTTTATTTACTGTGCTAATGATTAAATTACTTCGCTTTTCATGTAAAAAAATTACGCAAAGTTGGGTTCTCATTCTTTTCATTAATAAAATCTGCAGCGTTCGTGCTCATTTATTTAATTGTCATTTTGCGGCGTTTGCGACGTTTTCTGAAGAAGCTTCTTAGCACGTCTAGTTTTCGAGCAAAAAAATGTTGAAATATTGAAAATGGCTAAAATGAACAATTTGAAAACTTTGTAAAAAATGAATTTGGACGTTGTGTTTCCTATAAAAAAACCATGAATTAATGAAAATGTGATTTGTCTAGTGGATTCGATATCATTCCAATTGGTCGAGTCAAAACTCTTGAAAAAACTCTTGAAAAAGTCCCAGTTTCATAATTTTTCTCTCACTTTACCGTACGCCAATTTCAAACCTATCTCCCCCTTGTGTTTTCTGGAAAAAATTGCGTTCAAATTAATTTTTTTATAAATTTTTCAACACTTCAACATTTTTGTTCCCGAAAACTAGACGTACCAGAAAGATTTTCCACAATAAATTAAAAATGAGTATCAAAATATCTACAAAATGTATTATTTGAGCTCCATCAGGCTCTGAAAAAATTCATAAAAGAAACAAATCAGTAAACTAATACAAATACCCCATTGACGCCAGTTAACGTCGCAAAATAGCAATTAGATAAATGTTTTCATTTTTGTCCACCATCCCCTGATAGTTTTGTATAATTAACAATAAAGAATGATCACAAATAGAACACAAACGATTATCCTTCAGGATGAGTTCCACACGAGACTTCGTTTCTGCCGGCGAGGGCTCCTGGCCATGGCGAACGCAGGAAAAGACGACAACGGCTCTCAATTTTTCTTCACATTCTCAGCAACCCCAGAATTGCAGAACAAACACACGATTTTCGGTAAAGTCGCTGGGGAAACGATCTACAACATGTTGAAGTTGGAGGACGCCCTCGTGGACAGCAACGAGAGGCCCCAGTACCCCCAGCGGGTGCTGAGAACTGAGGTCCTGATCAATCCCTTCACCGACATCGTCCCAAGGATCGCCAACACCGACGAAGCCCCAAAGGAGCGGAAAAAAGCCAAGAAATCTGGAGTCAAAAATTTCAAACTGCTGTCCTTCGGGGAGGAGGCTGAGGAGGACGAGGAGGAGTCAGTGGTCCTCAGTAAGAAATTGAGTGGCAGGGGAAAATCGGCGCATGACAATTCAGCTGATCCTCGGCTGAGCAGTGTCCCAGCTGTTGAGCCCTCGGGGCCTCCTAGCAAGAGGAGGAGAGAGGACAGGAGCAGTGACTGGGAGAGCGATGGGGAGCCCCAGGATGAGGAGGAGATCGCCAGGGGGAGGAAGGAGTCTGCGTAAGATTTGGTCATTTATTCTTTAGACTCATTGATTAATTTATACTACTTTATTTTATTCTATTTCAATTTCCGTTTTCACAATTAGATTAATTCCATTTCATTGTTATTCTTATTAGACATATATTTTTCAGTAATTCACAAGTTACAACATTGAATGCAGAGGAATTATGGTACAGCCAGATAGAAAGTGTTTTTTTGTGATCAAAATAAAACACACGGGTAACAGAAAAATCTCTGCTTTTTTCATCATATTATGAAAAGGAAATGAAAAAAGAATCAGAGAGGGATGATCGGCTAGAAAATAGATTTTTTTTCGTTTTTTATTGTCTGCGGGAACTTCGAATCATTTTTTTTCTTCAAGTACTGGCGGAAAATCGAGATTTCAGGGAGAAGAAATTCAAAAAATGCAAAAAAGTGGGCGGGAAGAACTAAAAACATTAATTTTTCAATGTCTCCGGAATGTTTTAAAATCGATTTTTTTTAAATAATGAATGAATACCCATAAATTCAAGAAGTGTCCTCAAGGGTCGTTTAACCAATACGACCATTTGACCTTTAGTTCCAAAAGTTATTAAATGTCGTTCGCCCGTCAAGGCAATTTAGCGCTTAAATTCAACCGAAAAAAAGAAGAGAAAATGCCTGAATTGTGTCAAGAAGTATTTTCCTGGTGTTTCATTTTGCCCCGGTCTCTTTTAAATAAACGACGAGTGAAAGTTGCAATGTCGTTTTTACCATTTGTTCCAGGGAGATGAAACAGCGAATTTTCGACAAATTGAAGGAGAAAAACTCATCGAAAAACAAGAAACCAGAGCCGAAGTATGCAGAAGCCTCGGATCACTCGGATGACGAGTACTACCTCGGGAAAGAGCGTCACGACGAGCGGAAGAAAAGAGCAGCGGAGATTCGAAAGGAGATAAAAGAATTTAAACGAGGAGTTCACAGTGAAAAAAAGGCGAAAGAAGAGGACGATCGAAAACAGAAGGAGCAGTTGTCCAAAAAGGTTGAAAGGAAAAAGATTCTGGACGACTACATGCCCGATCAACAGAAGTACGAGGAGGCTAAAGCCAAAATACCAAAGAAAGGTGAAACTTGCTCTAAATTACTGCAACTTACTTTGCAAATATCACCGAAGAGGAGAGGAAATATTTCAGAGACAAATCTCATGAAATATTTCTTCTGGAGAATTCGAATTCCCACAAAAAATGTCTGGCATTTATCCCCAAGTCTCTTCTCTTCAGAGATATTCACGAAGAAATTTAATATTTCCATTATGCAGAGAATATGATTTAATCTGTACGATTTTGCTGATGACTCAGCTAGACGAATTGACCTGTACTATCTAATCGCTATATGTGAAGAGTCAAATAAAATTTAATCATCTCATTTTCATAAACATTGAATTGAGCATTAGATTAAAAAAAAAAACATTAAATTTTTTTCAATATAGGACCCATTCCCTGCGGAAGAGGATGAGTATGAATCCTCCTCTTGTCTTCAGCTGTATGAATTCAATTTAATCCGTAAAATCTCGTCATTATATTCAGAGTCCAATGCAACATTCACGATGTTTTTGAAACGAATCCAAAACCCTCTAAACAAAGAATTCTATTTCCATCACCAGGAAATGATCGCGACAAATTCGCTCTGGAGCTGCTCAACAGATTCAAGACGAAACTCCACTCGAAAAAGATGGAGTCGCAGACCAGGGAGGGCTCTCTCTCCGACAAACCAGACGACGATGACGACGTCGAAACAGACGACTCCTGGATGATGCACAGACTCCACTGCGAGGAGAAAAATCCAGTATTGGCCAAGGACGCCAGCACAAAAGCCGACGATTGGTTCGAGATTTACGACCCCCGAAATCCCCTGAACAAGCGTCGAAGGGGTGAGTCGTCATCCTCGAAGAGCGATACCAGAAGAGACAAATCTCACAGGAGATGATAACTTGAATCACCTTAGGTTTAATGTATTCTGTTAATTATGAAATTAATTATGTATGTTAATTATGCAATTAATTATGTCATTATCGATTCTCGTGTCCAATACTTCTGGACATTTTTGTCAAATAATCTCCAGTGATTGGTGATCAATAATAAACGATAATTAATTAATTCAATTAACAAATTAACTAATGAAAAATTATCAGTTGATTTAATTAAAGAATGAAAAATTATTGAATGCACGAAGTTTTGTCTCATGATTAATTATTGGGTCGTCCAATTAATTCATTTATGGAAAAATGTGAAGAAAAAAATTTATAACAAACTTCCATTCCTGTAAGAAATCGTAAATTATGAATTATTGTTCTCAATTAATTTACAAAATTGAAAAGATTGTCTACATCATTCTGTAAATATCTTTTGAGGTTTTCAGATTAATAAAACGATGTCCATTTTTTTGTGCATCGAATTCCGCGTAAAAAATAACTCTTGACATTTTCAAAACCCTTTAGTTCCACACATAATCCCTCAGTTACGAGAGCCCCTCATAAAACCGATTAAATTTCCCCACTGAATCCTCAAAAAGTTTCACAAGCGTTTAAGCACCCAGATAATTGCTTCATTTTCCACCGACAAGATAAAAAAAATACTTCAGACATCCACAGAGATCCCCGATAAGCCATTGAGCCTAGGCTGTCAATACTCGTGACGAGCGAGCCACTAGGTACACATGTAAACTCTTTGTAGACTCCTCCTCACTCCCTGATTATTCCCACAATCAGTCCGTATGTTGACACCGTGCGATGCGCATAATTTATTTTTACAATCGTCTCAGTGTCCCCAACATCTTCGCTGCAACATCTCCCCCAGTCGTCATTACGAAGGAATTTATTTATATCAAAAGAACAATCTCCAATTATCCGTGAGTTTTCCTCTTCAATCGTTTGAAACGAAAAAATTCCAATTCCAACTCGTAATTATGGTAATTGAGTCGTTAATATTCACGACCACGTGTCGATTTAGTCTCGTATTTTGTAAATAAGAGAAGAAGCTGAAGTTGAAGAAAACAAATCGGAGAAGGGCTTGTGAAGTGTCTTATTAGCAGAAAAACAATTGTTTTTATTCAATCGGAAGTGAAAATTCGATGGAATCAGTGTTGAATGGATTTTTTGGGTGAATAATAATAAAATTGTTGGATATTTTTTTCGCGAATTATTGAGGAGAGGAGGGAGAGGAGGTGCATTATGGCAACAACCCCACTCACAATTGAAATGCTCGGTAATTTTTTCTTCTTGATTTTTTTTCAAATTTCACATAATATTTTAGTATTTTAACATTTTATCATTTCAACATTTTAACTGTTATTATTTTTGACATTTACATTGAAATGTTAAAATGTTGAAATGGTAAAATGTTAAAACACCTAACATTTTAACATTTCAATTTGATGAAAGTTATTATTTAATTATCCTGTTGTATCTGTTGTGTTTGATAACAAAATACTAAAGAAAAATTATTTAAAAAATTTGAACACTCCGATGGTCGCGCCGTAAGAGCGGCGCCAGCAAAAATCGACTAATGATAAATTCGAAAGATGTGGGAAAAATCTAAAAAAATCAAGAGTCATCTGGACTTTTACGTCCAGTGTTACCCTTAATAATATATTCAAGCTCGAAGTTGTCATGTTCTTTTTCTGAAAATTCGCCTTATACACGGTATACGCCCCGGAGTTTCGGAATAAAAATTTGAAAATCCAACTACTTATTATATTTTTGGGGATAGTTTCATTGAAAGGGCTTCTAGACACTTCAAAATGAGATGTCAAATTTTTCCCAATTTTTTTCAGGCTTTACTGCAGTGTAATTTAAAAAATCGGAAGAAGAGCGACGCGGCGCGACCAACGGCCTGTTAAGGATAATTTTTCTGCCTATTCTACATGAATCGCGCAAATTTTTATATCAAACAAAACGAAATTAGCTGTGAAGGACTCGAATTTCAAAAAAATAATTCGTAATTGTTATCGTACACATTTTTTTCAAAAAATTGAAAAAAATTCTCTGTAGCTGAAAATTTTAAGGGTCTGCGGGACAAACGAACAATAAACAATTGACTTTTTGCAAGATTGTCACATTACTGATTCAATTAGAAAAAATTCGGAAGCGAAGCGGTTGACCGCGTTAATTCGATTTTGACTATTGGCTAGTTTTTTACAAATATCTCGGAATCTAAAAGAGATAGAAAAATTTTCATTGCGACCTTTTTTGTAGAGCCAACTGAGGGTCATAAAAAAGGTCATGAGAAGAATTTTGCTATCTCTCTCAGATTCCGAAGAATTCAGCATTTCGAAATTCCTCCTGAATTCTATTTGATCATTACACGAGATTTCAATAATTAAAAAACTATTGTGTGTAAAAATAGGTTTAAAAAATTCTTGAATTTCGAATTCACTTCCCGGAATACCTCCGAAAAACTCTCCCCAATCTTCTCTCGAATGGAAATATTTTGATCTAAAAAAAAAATGTCCAGATGATAAATTCGCTCTAGTCGCGTCGACCCTCCGCCTCGGAGGAATGACATTGGATTACAATAATTGACCAAGAGGAGCCTCTAACTGTGATAAGATAAAGTCTGCCCCGCGGTTGCGAGATAACAACTAGGTACTAGGAAAAAAAAAACACTTGTTAATGATTCCTCTCGCGATGAAAAGCAAATTTACGTATCTGAATTGACCGAGATTTTTCAATGAAAAATTGATCTCCTCGCCGAGGCGATGGGATTGAAAGTGGCGGGCAAACAACGGGCTTTTGCATTATCCTCCTGGGCAATCCTATTATCGCGTTACTCCCACAAATTGATTCCAGGTTTCATGGAATTTTCCACTGTTTGTTGTGCCGTCTTACGAGTACAGTCTGCAAACTCGTTTAGCTAGGTGAATTTATTTCGATCCGTAAGACTGATAATGACATTTCCATCGCGTAAATTTATGCAGCTGTTGCGGACATTTAATCGGAGCATTTGTTATTCCGTACAATTTATTATTTGCATCGAGCGAAAATTTTTTTATTTGTTTAATTGGAGAGTGAGAGGGGGGGGGGGTATTCCGCGCAATTTGAAAACTTTTTTTTAGTTTTATAGAAGGGTCAGAGCATTGTAATGGCGACAGTCTCTCGTGCTTGATCGTATTTGTTTTATAAAGACAGGAAAACGTTTCCTGAAAATCGCTGAATAATCATTTTTATTCGATTTATTATTGAATTTTTTTTCATTTCTCGGGCGAGCTTCAGGAAAATTCACCGAGGCAATTGTACTCACGAAGTTCTCATTTTCGTTTTCATTTTTTGTAATTAATATTCTGAACACTCTCACGATTTTTAAGATGATAAACGTCGTCCGAAGGATTGGGCCCCCAAGAAACTAGAGTGCACGGGTCCCCTGCGTCTAGCTCGCCTCTGCATTCTGGGGATGTTTCTCCCAGCGATCTTGGTCGCAGGTCCTGTTTACCTGCGCTACAGAGTCTACTCGGAGCAGCTGTACCCCCTCGCAGCCACCGACCAGCGGCTCATCGACGGGAAAATCTCCACCACGTGGTGTCAGGTAATTTCCCCCAGAAAATTGAATTTTTGAGATTATTCTGGAGGTATCTTCGGCACCAGAGGTTTCTCCTCGTTTACCCGTAAACGTAAATTCATAAAAAAATGTTATTTGTTATTGTCAATTGACTATTGACGAGTTTTCAATGAATATCTCGGTATCTAAGGGAGATGGCAAAATTTTTGTTATAACCTTTTTTGTAGAGCCGATTGAGAGCTACAACAAATGTAATTACAAAAATTTCGCTATCTCCCTTAGATTCGGAAATATTTCTCAAAAACTGAACGGGGAGATGAGTCGACTTAAACAGTTTCACCACTTCGCTTCTGAATTTTTTAGTGAATTCGCTAGGTTTTCCATTGAATTTTTCCATGCGTTTGCTCCCTTATTTCACCAAAAAATCGGCTCATTCAATTGATTACTCCAAACCCACTAGTTTCCGAGATATTTCCAAAATAATCCAGCATTATAACTTAATTACTGATAACAATGATAACACCTCAATAGCGCATGTAATAAACACCCCGACAATCGAATACTGATACCCAAATTTTATCGTTAATCACCTCAGCGACAAGTCGTTAAAGTAAATACGACGTTCAATGCTTACTTAATTAATGGAGATCCACAAATGAAAATAGAGACGACTCCAGTGTCTATGACGAGGCATCTGGTGCTTGAGGATGATATGAAGGAGTACTGGGGATTTTATTTGCTGAGGGGAAGCAGTGTCACTGTCTCCACTTGTGTCAGGTGACCACCGATAATTAATCACATTAAATTAACTAATGGGCGCATCCACAGTTAACGAATAAAGCTTAAACGAGAATTCAATTTATTCTTTCCAGTTTATTTCGCAAATATCTCGAAAACCAATGGGTTCATCGAAAAATGTCATAAAAACTTTATTGTAGCTCATAAAATTCTGCATAAAAAATATCGTGTGACTTTTTTTCGTAAATCCAGTCCAAACCAAGATAATTGAGAAATAAACAATTGATAATGAAATAAGAAATAGTATACGCGTTGATTATTCCGCAATTATTGATTCATTATCAAGCAAATAATTAATTAGTGATCTCCCAATCAACTGACTAATCAATCGGTTCATTAATTAATTGATAAACCCCTCAATCAAGTCATATTGCCAATTTTCTAATTTGCTTTCTCATTATTTTTTAAATTAAAAATTGGATTTTTCTTTTGATTTTTATTTTATTCAGATGGCCAGGTGCATCATTGACAATAATCCGGGGTCATAAACACCTGCACGAGTGTGCATTTATCGGAGATGACAGCAGTGAGGAATTAGAGGAGCTTCTGGAAATAGCGGAGGAACAGGGCCTCCTTAACGGCACCGGATATCCCCTAAATCCAAAGGTGAATCGCTTGATTAAAGTAGTAAAAACATAATTTGAATTTTGAACATTAAAATCTGAAATAAATTCTGAACGAAAGTCAATATGAACAGAAACATTCTGGTTGAGTTTGTGCTCAATCGGCAGTCTAGTATTGTCGATATTAATTAATCTAGAAGTGCAAGATTTTCGAGGTTAAGGAGAAAATTAAAATCCGGAAAAAATCTCGAAAAATCGGAAAATAAAATAAAAATTCTAAATTCTAATAATTCATGTTTCTGCCTGCCTGAAATGGAATATCGTATCGCACCACCCTAGTCAAACGAGAGACTATTGTTCAAAAAATAATTCAGGAAAAAATTGATAGATCAATTTCTCACACTCATCAACGTAAGAATTCGCGGGAAAAATTATCAATGATGATTAATTTTCCTCACACCTGTCTAGGGACTTTCCAAGTTTGCACTGGGATTGCTGGCGCAGCGGAATGTTAATTGACGCTGATAACAGGCAGAAATTCCAGATTACAACTTTTTAATTAATTCGTGGAATTTTCTTGTTGATGATGAACGTAAATAGCGTTATATCATTTGTATTCTTGATTATGTCAATTGACTTCTATCTGATGTTAAGACTTAGTCGAGACGAAGCTGATTAACGAAGTGCTTTAAGAGATTACGCAAGGGGGTGGTGATTGCAGATCTATTCTGAGCGGATATTTTTATTTCGTGAATATCTCTGGAATTAGTGAGTTTAGGGGGAAAAACAGATAGCCCAGACCAGGATTTGAACCCGGAACCTTCCAACTGCGCAGCACGTGCTCTTCTTATTTTGTAAAAATTTATTCGTTCATAGACACCGATATTCATCATTTGGAAACAAACAGTCTTGACATTAGAAAAAAAATATCAACATTTCTTAGAGTTAATTAAGCAATTGTCCAAGTGATTCTCAGAAACTCTCACTTCTTTCATATTTAAACGTCAATAGCTTGTCTCATTTCAAATGATGAAAATACGAAAACCGCAATTAAATAATTGAATAATGGGAGGGGTTGAGGAGGGGGGGGTAATCCCAGATAGGTCACGCAACCGACGTTCAGAAAATCTGTTTTATTCTCAACATCGCCCCCCCCCTCCCCACAACACATTTAATACCAATTTGGCTGTTCTTCAGAAAGATGGGCCTAGCAATGAGCCCGAGAAGATGAAGAGAGCTCACCAGGACGTTGAGTTCCATCACAAGGGAAACGCCCCTCCCTCGAACAATACTCTCCCTCTGATGTCCAGTCACCACTACACGAGTCACGAGCTCGGTGCCAAGGAGATGCGAGAAATCCTGACGAATCTCTTCGCTCGAACATTAGTAGCGAAAAAGAAACAGAAAGAGAACCCTCACCACCATTACGAGGGAGTTTACAGGGAAAGTGCCAACATCGAGAAGCCCCCGCTGGTTCAACCCGACGAATTGCTGTGGAAACTCGAGACTATTGAGAAATTATTCGGTCGAAAAGCGACAGCAACAACAGCTCAACCACCGAAGAAAACCCAAATCGAGAGATCTAAACTAGAAGTTTCAACTCCGTCTCCAAAATCCAAAGGAAAATTAGTGAAGGAAATGGCAAAAGATGCAGAAACATCAACGGTTACATCTTCCGAAGTTCTTGAAGATGTGCTCAAGCGAATTGATGGTCTTGGAGATCGAGGGAGAAAAGTGCTGGAGAAGTTGTCGGCGAATTTGAAAGAACGAGAGAAGAATGAGAAGAAAATAAATTCAAGGGATGGGAAGGGTTTGCTGAGGAGGAAGAGACAGTTGGTGCTGTCGTCGCCAGCCCTGGTTGATGAATTGAACAGGCACGATGAGGAGGAGGACCTGGCAGTGGAAAAGGTAACGCTAGTCATGTAGCCGATGAAGTGGTGGAACGAGACGATAGATTTTGAGAGTAGATTGTGAGAATGTCTGGGAATTATTCATGGGAACCTCTCGAATGGGTCTTGATTGTCCCCAAAGGAAAAAAAGTTGTCATTTCAGCACTTCCGGACTCAATTCCGACGTGGTAATGCATTTTGCTGAGCAATCACCAGATTTTGTTCATAAACCTTCCAGGAAGATTTGCATCCTGATGGAATCGCGGAAGACAGAGGAACTGTCAACGAATCGACACTGAACGATCGAAGTAATTCGGAGTTCTGGAGCTCCTTCAGCAGCTCTGAGGAGCGGCTCATGGAGTGCAAGGGGTTAATACTCAATCTCCCGTTGACTCCACATCACCAGTGCACGCCCAAGTATGAGAACGAACACGTGAAGGCTTCTATTGCGAACACAGTTACGTACAGGTAATAATAAAATTCGATGCAATGAACAGTCTTTTCTCCTCTATTTCCATATGAAAACAACGGCACACATTGCATAGAGGCTATATTCTTGACCTCTGAGTCCTTGGTTTCCTTATATTTGATTGCTCATACTACTCAGGCTGCAATATTTGATGCTCCCAAAGCCTTATCGTGATGACCTGCTGCTCATAAGACTCAGAATTACCAATTTGGTGCTCATAATTCTCAACTTATTGTTAATACGATATTCACAAGACTCAAACTTATATTTTCACTGCTCATACGGCTCAAAATTGTATATTTCGCCGTCCAAATTCCGAATTCCAAATTTCGCCCTCCGGTTTCCGAATCTCATAGGACTCTGATTTTCATATTTGACATTTGCAAATATCGAACTTTTATTATTCGAGCATATTTGATGTTCATAAAGCCTGGAGTGTACTGCCTAGTGCTCACAAGACTCAGAATGAATAATTTAACGCTCACAATTGTTAAACTATTCCATATTCAACATTCACAAGGCTGAAACTCATATTTTCAATGCTCATAGGACTCAAACTTTTACATTTGACGTTCACAGATCTTGAACATCTGCCAATTGAGTATTGGGGTGTAATGCATCGTGCTCATAAGACTCAGAATGACCGATTTGATGCTCATAACTCTCAAATTTTGTATATTCGACATTCATAAGACTCAAACTCATATTTTCAATGCTCATAGGACTCAAACTTTTACATTTGACGCTCACAGATCTTGAACATCTGCCAATTGAGTATTGGGGTGTAATGCATCGTGCTCATAGGACTCAGAATGACCGATTTGATGCTCATACGGCTCAAACTTCTATATTTCCCGCTCGCAGGGCCCGAATTATCATATTCTCAAAGCCTGGAATGTAGTACCTCGTGCTCATAAGGCTCAGAATGATTAATTCCAATCTCATTATTCTAAAACTGTTTTATATTCGACATTCGCCTGACTCAAACGCACCTTTTTAATGTCCACACGCCTCAAATTTCTGTATTTGATGCTCATTACTCTTTCCATTCTGAGTTATTACATTTTGGGCATTGATTCCTTCTCTTCATTTCATCCTACGAAAACACGTGAACAAATGATCAATTTCTCTGATTTTAGAGTCCCAGTTAACGGTTACTACTTCTTCGTCTTCAACTCCGAGAACGAACTGCAGCCGAACTACGTTCGCGTTAAATTTGACCTCGTGAAGACCTACTACAACACGTCGAATCCAGTGCACGCTTGTCAGAACTCCACCCAGGAGTGCTCCCTGCCCTTCAACTTCTTCAGCTGGGAGCGAACAGTCCTGGAGCTTCCATTCAGCGGCAACGACTCCCAGTGGAACGAGGAGTACGTAGTGGTGTCCCAGTGCGAGCCTCGCACCGCCATCTACCTCGTCTGCATGATCACAGTGCCTCTCCTCATCCTCCTCTTCGCGTTTCAGTGATGTTTCTAGCTCTTGTGATTACTTTGGCGAAATTGCAAATCAATTGGCTAGTGAAAAACAGTATTTTTGAGCGAATAATTTTAACTGGGTCATTTGAGCTTTTTGTATTCGCGTGTGTGCCTGAAATATCTAGAATTAGGATGACGAGTACCTCATTAATTAAGGGATTGATTAACTTTACTACTTGTGATTGAATTTTTTTTTTAGGAAAATAAAGTGGAAGTGAGGAGGTGAATTATGACTGATGAATTTTTATGAGTTTATTTACTTATTTTTTATGAGTTTAGTCACTCAGGGAGTTCCAGGCCATTTGGCTATTTTTTCTTCAGGGAAATGCTTTTCTACTTTTTTAGTTGAACATCATAGCTTTCATTTGAGGCTGTTTTTTGAAACTGAATTTGAGTCTCGGTATTGAATCGTTAGAACACCTTTTAAAAATCTGAAAAAAATTCGAAAGTTTACTTCTGGAAGAAGATTGATAAAATAATTTAAATAATTTATAAGAATTAGGATGACGAGTACCTCATTAATTAAGGGATTGATTAACTTTACTACTTGTGATTGAATATTTTTTTTAGGAAAATAAAGTGGAAGTGAGGAGGTGAATTATGACTGATGAATTTTTATGAGTTTATTTACTTATTTCTTATGAGTCTAGTCACTCAGGGAGTTCCAGGTCATTCGGCGTTTTTTTCTTCAGTGAAATGCTTTTCTACTTTTTTAGTTGAACATCATAGCTTTCATTTGAGGCTGTTTTTTGAAACTGAATTTGAGTCTCGGTATTGAATCGTTAGAACACCTTTTAAAAATCTGAAAAAAATTCGAAAGTTTACTTCTGGAAGAAGATTGATAAAATAGTTTAAATAATTTATAAGAATTAGGATGACGAGTACCTCATTAATTAAGGGATTGATTAACTTTACTACTTGTGATTGAATATTTTTTTTAGGAAAATAAAGTGGAAGTGAGGAGGTGAATTATGACTGATGAATTTTTATGAGTTTATTTACTTATTTCTTATGAGTCTAGTCACTCAGGGAGTTCCAGGTCATTCGGCGTTTTTTTCTTCAGTGAAATGCTTTTCTACTTTTTTAGTTGAACATCATAGCTTTCATTTGAGGCTGTTTTTTGAAACTGAATTTGAGTCTCGGTATTGAATCGTTAGAACACCTTTTAAAAATCTGAAAAAAATTCGAAAGTTTACTTCTGCAAGAAGATTGATAAAATAATTTAAATAATTTATAAACAATCAATTTCCCACTATAAAAACCATTTGTTCGGAATCGCAACAAATTTAATAATATTCTCAATTTCATCAGTAATCGATTTCATGCCTGAAAAAATAAGATTTGTATTGGTTTTTCCACTGAGAATGATCATAAGCGATTGAAAAAATAATATCGAATCTGACAGGGAAAAGGGCATCAACGCTAGTCTTGTAAAAAAAATAATCTCCCAGTTATCCATAAAAAAATGCACGCCCTTCAAGAAAAACACGAGAGCTCGATCCAACTTTTTAATCACATCTCTCCCCCACCGTTTTTCCCTCAAAATTAACACCGTAGAGATACCTAATTAATCCTCAGTGTCTTTACCGCTGATTTGTTGTTCTTTTAATCCCCCGAATGATGATTATTCTTCTCGTCGTTAACGGGGGCCGGTGGAAAGTGTAATAAACTCCTGTCGCCGACGGTTTGACCCTGCGATAGGGAATTTCCGGCCGTAGGGCCAGCCCTCGACACCGTCACAAGGGGGAAGGGGGGATGAGGGCGGAGCATCCCTTATCAGTGACGAACACTCGTCTCTACCCTCGAATGCAGCCATTCACCAAATGACGAGTTTAATAGGACAATTCCCGGAATTATTCTTAATTTTTTTGTTCAAATATTATTATTGCGATTTTCACTGTTTTTTGGTGATCCGGGGAAGGCTGAGGTGTTGGAAAGGGGGGGGGAGGTGGTGGGGAGAGGGGTTGATTCTATTAATGTGGTACGATTGGTACGTGTGGCTGGCGGGTGTAGATAAGGGAGAATTGATTTCACCCTCGGTTGACTGTCGTCACTGGGCCGCGGGTGTGAGATCGTCCCGAGTGTTGCGATATATTTTGAGAAATTTATTGGGGCGTTTTTAAAGTAGCATAAACCTGTACTACACTGAGAGAAAAACAAATACGTTGTCAAACATGTCTTGTTTGGGCCAACAAAATCGCTAGTTGACAATTGCCAAAAAAGAATTTGTTTGGTTCGAATTTGAAAGTCTCAGACATGAATAATTGTTCTGCTTTCGACGGCAACGAAATATTTGGCAAAGAGGCGGATAATTCACACCAGACGGCGCCTTTTCAGGATGAAAATATCTCATACAGAGGAAAATTTATCAACTAATATTTTATCCCTAAGTTACAAGATTCCTATCATATCATTATTATTGTTTCATTTGAGGGTTCATTTGTTGTCTGTGATTATTAGACAGCCGAAACGAAAAACTACTATCCCTTGTTTCGCATTAAACAAAGATTTTTCGGGAGCAAAATACGTATGGGAGTATCGAATAACGAAGGAGTAGTGCTAGAAATGACATTTATTGCGTCTACAGAGAATCCAATTTTTTTAGACTAATAAATCTATTTTTGCGACAAAAAAAATCCCTTTTTGATAATTTTCAAAAAACTATTTTCTTGGCACAAGTGAGATTTGTTTGAGAACTTTGTCGTTTTTCTCTCAATGTAGTTTGATAATTTTTCTCATGAATTCTAACTTTGGTGACTGGAAGAAACTGATCTACCAAACGCCTTCTTCAATTTTTTTAAAAATAATAGTCTCTCTCGTTTGGCACTCAGAAACATAAATTATTTATGTTGGAATTCATGCCTGAATACAAAAATTAATTTCTTAGTTTAGTTAAACATTTTCTCTTTTCCACCCAAACACTCAGGGTGACATTTATGGCTTTTCTTAGAAAATAGAGACGTGAAGAAAAACAGTCCTCATGGTGAGTCACAAAGGAGAGGCTGAAGAAAATTGAAACAAGGGCCTTTTGTCAAATGGGTCCAGAGAGTGAAAACTCTCATGACTTTTAGTTAGTCGTCCTAGAGACTTCGTTGGAGAAAGATATACCTTCTGCGTGTGATCATTAAAGAGTTTTACTTTGAAGAATAAAACTAATGTGTTTTTATTGAGTATTCCTACACATAATCCAATAATTTATTACAAAAGTTTGAAATTGGCGATAATTTTTTTATTGGGCACTGAATTTTTATTTATATTTTCTGATTGCAAAATTCAACTTATGTTTATACTGCTTTAACGAGTGAAGTGATGGAGATGAAAAGTGATATTTTTATTGGTTCATCTCTGGATTCAATGAGAAATGTCGTAAATAGATAGAGAGATAGAGATATCATAATAAGCTCATTTGATCCCCACATCGTAGCTCAAGTGGCCACCAGTCGCGTGCCCCTTATTGTGACAGATCCGAGGGGCGCCACCGACCTTTTCAGGGGTGTCATCCCGGATCAGAAAGTATAGCGTCATTCAACGCGATCATTCGAGCGCAATTACCAGCCAATCTGCGTGGGATAGTCTGCCCAAGTGCAGTCAAGCACGTTCGTAATTTCCCACTCCAATAATTCTGCCATCCATCCACTTTCTTCAATTCAAGTTTTAAAAAAGTGAAGGACGAATGAAAATGTGAGATTATTGTCAAAAAATATGTTTTTCTCACTACACAGGAGAAAAACCAAATTTTTTCTAAATAATTTTTTTTAATTGAAGAAAATATATTGAATATTTTCGTCTCTTTTCTCTTTTTCTTCTCTTTGTATCTTTAAAAAAAAACTATTGGAAATGGGTGATTTTGAATAAAAATCAATCCGGTTGAGTTGAAACTTTTCTTTATTTAAAATTATATACGAGGAAGACACATCCACACGCTTTGAGCTCCTCAGATGGACTAACTAAAGAAACAAAGATCCCAGAGGTCTGAAACCCTGGCGACATAGACCCACAAAGGTTCATTCATTTACAGATGTTGAGACTGAAAAACCAAATGCCCAAACAGTCGTCCACGCTCTTCTCAGAATTTCAGATCAGAAAAATGTTCTCTTATAATAATATAAACACACTGTGAAATATAAAATCAATTTTTGTAATCATGAAATGTGAACTCCAACAAATCAATAGACGACTGGACTTGTTCACTCATCATTTCTAACATATATCCTGTAGAAAATAATTACTTCTGATTGCAGACAGATTATTATTTTCTTGATCCTCAATCACTCAACATTATTCTTCGATAAAAAAATTAAAAATTTTGGTAGCTCGGTCAGAAAAATCATGTTTTTCGATCCACCGACAAACATCGTCTATCCCTAATGCTTAATCTTGAAGACGATTGTCACAAATTCCCAGGAAGCGATTACCCATCTCGTGGGCGTGAGAGGATACCCCCAAAAGCACATGTTGTCACCCGATAAAAATACTGGACTCCTGCTCCACCCACTCCCAAAAATTTTGCGATAAGAAAATTGAAGCGACACATTTTCCCACCTGAACATAGGGTTGGAGGACTGAGATTTGACGATTAGCTGACACACTTCCCCCTTTTTATTATTATTATTTTTCTTTTCTTTCTTTGTTGTACATAATCTATGTACAGTAGAGGATGCGTATAAGATACCTCTCTATAAGATGCCTCGCGCTCCGAGCGCTCGAGGCCTACCCCCACTCTCGGCACATTTATCGCCTCCCGAGTGTTTATGTTCCGTGGGCTTCTTATAAGATACCTACGGCCCCGGTCATTTTTCAACGGGAAGAGAGTAGTCATAAGGATCAAACGGTGTTGAGGGTCAACCGGGAGGGACGAACGAAGTGATCATGAGGGTCTAATGACCTTAAGAGGGGTCACACCACTTTTTTCAAGTAATGGAAATATACATCGATTTTTTTTTCACATTTCCCATCGAAAAATCGTAATTTTTCGTCTGTGATTATTCTCGAGTCCACCAACAATCCCCCAACATCAGCTGCCATTATATCACGCGGGGTTATGTTTAGAGAGAAAAGGGAACGCGGCCGATACAAATTCAAAACATTAAACACATAAATTGATTAGTTATCGATATTCATTCAGTAAAAATGAAAATTTCATTGAATTCCGGCGCAACGAGCGAGGTATCTTATTTGAAACCCGCTGATCCCTATTTTTCTCCTCTCTACGGGCGCGCGTGGTGGGGGCACAGGGGTTCCCGGAATTCCACTCTCCTCCTGTCCCTGAGGTATCTTATACG